GTTTTGTTTTGTTTTTTGCCATTGGAGGAGTTGGCCATCTAGGTATACTTACTTTCAGGAAAAATGAAGGGCATGAGGAATAAAGGTGTAGAATGTTAGAGACAGAGGAGGAAACTGAGAGTCCCAGCAGTATCCTAGCCAGGTCACACCAGGTGTAAGCACTTGAGGTGCAGACTGAACCATGACCCCTGCAGTATCCCATAGATGGGGGATACTGAGTCAGGAACATTGTATGACACCTCCTGAACCATAGCGTTACAGGGAAAAGAGGAGCTGGTGGCTGGTGAGCAGAGAGGCAGGGAGCCCTCTGGTCAGGAAACAGAAACCATTTCTTTTATGGTTGTGAGCCCAGGAATGTCTTCCTTGGTCGATCTCTCCCAGGAGCTGCTCCCACCCGCTCAGGACCCCACCTGTCTGTTGTCTGCCTCCCCCCAAAACTTGAGCCTTCCCCTGTAATAAAGAAAAGTAGACAAGTGAAAGTAAACCTGTCTTATAAGCATGCATCGGAACCCCCAACCTTTCCTACAGAAGGAGAGAAGCCTGTTCCCTTGCCTCCCTTTGTGCAGAGGTGATAGAGGCCACCTGTGAAGGGCTGCCTCTGCTCCCTGACTGGACACCTCCCCCATCTCTGCTTTATCCCAGTCTTAGATGAAGAGCTGGCCCTTACCTCATCCCATAACTTGTCCCCTCCAACATTCTCTCTCATCTACTGCACTACCCCTCATGCCTGCAAACATGCCCAGGTCTCCCCACCCCCCTAGAAAAGGTTCACCCTGACTCCACCATCCCCATAATCTCTCCTTCCCAAGCCTATCCCATCCAGCCCTTATCTCCCTTCTGAGCTCCTGCTCCCAGAGAGTCTCCACCTGGACATCCCTTAGGCATTGCAGGCTCACTGAGGTAGGAGACAAAAGTCTGGGCACCCACTCAATCCATGCTTTCTGAATAGAATTAAGTGGAGTTTAATGGACTCTTTCCTATTCTTCACTCAGGTAACAGCAACTTAATAGATAAACTGAGGAGGGGTTGGAGGGAGGTGACTTTCACCAGAAACTTAAGTGGGTAGAGAAGGGGAGAGACAGAGACATAGAGAGAGAAACAGAAACATAGAGAGACAGAAAGAGAGAAACAGAGAGACAGAGAGAAGGGAGGAGGGAGAGCGAGACAGAGACAGAGAGAGAAAAAGAGACAGAGGAGGGGGGAGGGAGAGATGAGTAGCTAGGTGGTAAGTTGATGGTAGGTTTATCAATATCTGATAGAGTTTGGTCATACATCCCTAGATCCATAGCACTGAGTGGAGATCAAAATGGACTACAGGGTCCATTCCAGCCCTCCCTACAATGGTCACTGCCAACAGCAAGCCAACCCTGAGTCTCAGCATCCTGCACTGAGGGCTGCCTCAGGCCCCACCAAGATCAGACAGTGCCGCCAGTCTCTGTCACCACGGGGATGAAAAAATACTGCCTCTGCATCTTACACCGCACGCCCCAAGAGGGGCCAGGGGGCTGGGAGAGGCACGGGTGTTCAAGGTTGCTCAGGAGCCTGCCTCGTAATGGAGCCTTGGGCCTTCCTTCCAAGCCAGCAAGTGAGGCTGCTTATCTTCTGCAGGCCTCCCCAGGAGCATGGCCTCTAAACCATTCTTCACCTTCCCCTGTAGGTATCATTGTGATGGACCCTCAGTCTTGTCCACTCAGCCTCCTCATCTCTCATTTCTGTTGCCCTTTCTCCACTGCCAGAGGACAAGCTTTGGGGCCAGGGGCCTCAGGGCCTCATCATTTCTCCCCTACACTAAAGCACAGCCTCCTCTTTGGTCCCTCTGCTTCCAGCCCCTACTACAGACACCAAAATAGTCTTTCTTTTATTTAATTTAATTTAATTTTTTTAGGCAATTGGGGTTAAGTGACTTGCCCAGGATCACACAACTAGTAAGTGTCAAGTGTTTCGTGTGAGGCTGCATTTGAATCCAGGTCCTCCTGACTTCAGGGCCAGTGCCATATTCACTGCACCACCTAGCTGCCCCTAAAATAGTCTTTCTAAGGCAGAAATCAGACCGTGTCCAGCTCTGCATGTCCAAAAGCCACCTTCAATGGTTCCCCTCTGCCTCTGGGATCAAAAGCCTCTGTATGTGATCTGGCTTCCAATCACCATCCCAAACTAATGTCATATCACCTTCATGCATTCAAAGCTCCAGCCAAACCCACCACTCCAGCTCCAGCCTCGGTGCCTTTGCCCAGTGTCCTCCTGCCTGCAGCACCTTCTCTCTGCATCTTTGCCTATTGGAATCCGGAGCTGACTTCAAGGCTTTATTGTCTGGTTGCCTCCTCTGGGAAGCTCTCTTGTTATCCCCCAGTTGCTTGTGGTCTCTCTCCTTTCTCCATTGTCCTTTCATCCTATTTTTCTTCCTCCAGCTATGCTTGTGATGATGTTTCAGGTAAGCTCCTTGAAGGCAGGGCCTTTATCTTTGCCTAGTACAGTTTAGCATCTAGAGACTGGAAAAGAGCTTGTTAAGGAGCAGGGATGAGGCAGGCACTGGCCATGGTGCTGAGATCAGCAATGCCGCCCAATGGAAGCTCACAGAGGGGAGGTTCTGTAGAGCATGGCCACCCAGCACTTGCCTGCCAGGAGACTGAAGCAGGAGAAGGTGTGGGCACGGAACACAGCTGTCAGAGCCTCCCCCATTTCACAGATGTTAATAATTGCAAGGTGGTTTCAATATTAGGAAAACAGTATTTTTTAAAATAACCCAAACCAGATGATTATATCAATAGATGCAGGGGGGAAAAAACCCTTTGACAAAGCACAGTACTCATTTCTGCCCCAAACCCACAAATCACAGGCATAGGGAATACATTTTTTGAAAAGTTTATATTTAAATCCAAAATTAGCATTATTTGTAATGGGGAAACATTAGCAGCTTTCCTGATAACCATAGGAATAAAACAAGGCTCTCTCCTTGCCCCACCATTACTTGAAATTATTCTACAAATGCTCATCACAGCAATAATATAAATGAATCAAAGGCATGAACAAAGGAAGAAAAGGACACATCGTCCCTATTTGCTGATGGCAAGATAATTTATTTAGGGAACAGCTGAACAAGCTGTGGTACATGAATGTAATAGAATACTATTGTGCTGTAAGAAATGATAAGCAGGTGGACTTCAGAAAAACCTGGAAGACTGGTATGGACTGATGCTGAGTGAAGTGAGCAGAACCAGGAGAACACTGTACACAGTAACAGCCACGTTGTGTGATGACTAACGTTGATAGACTTAGCCCTTCTCAGCAATGTTAAGACATCTCCGAAGGTCTCATGATGCAAAGTGCTACCCATATCCAAAGAAAGAACTATGGAGTTTGAATGCAGATCAAAGCATACTATTTGCTATTGTTTTTCTTGTTTTATTTTGTTTCCTCTTTCTTGTGGTTCCTCCTAGTGGTTCTAATTCTTACCTACAACATGACTAATGTGAAAATATGTTTAAGAGGAATGTATATGTAGAGCCTATATCAGATTGCTCACCCTCTTGGCGAGGGAGGCGGAGAGGTAGGGGGAGAAAATTTAAAACTCAAAAGCGTATGGAAGTAAGTGTTGAAAGCTAGAAATAAATTAATAATAAAGAAAAGTAGTGGGCTACAAAATAATCCTACAGAAATCCACAGCATTTCTACCGAGCCACAACAACATCCAGAAGGAAGCAAGGCAAAAGGAAGTTCTGTTCAAAGTAGCCACACAGCGCCTGCAGTCTCTGGAGTCCGTTGATCAAGATACACTTGACTCGTCTAGAAAACCGCTTACAAAGGAGGGGTCCAACTGTTCGGCTGGGATCCTTAGGGTAGAACTAAAAGTGGGGGGGGGGGGGAGTCAGCCAGAGGAAAATCCAGGCTGGAGGGCAGAAGTTCTGGAACGCTCGGACGTTTTTCCAGAGTTGAACGGGTCACCTGTCTTGCCCCCATTTCACAGATGGAGGCACCCCTTACTTAGAGGCTGGCTGGGTGACACCCTTGTTGGGTGGGTTGCAGGGAAGATTCCCTTTTGGGCATGGGTTGGATTAAAAACTCTCAAAGCCTCTGATTCTATGGCTTTTCGGGGGGAGTGCTAAGAAAGGCCAGGACATCTCCTTGGGCGGCAGGGAGTCGCGCGAGGGAGACAGGGAATGGCACGCGTGTCTTCCCAGCGACAGAATCACCGAACCTTACACGGAAGGGACCGGGAGGGCGATGGCCTCCATCAGAAGAGCTGGGGGCGCTCCTGCCTTCGTGGCTTCACCGGCGCCATCGTGGCACCCGTGGGGAGACAGCGGCACATTCAGACCCCCCCCAGACGCCCCCTCCTCAGCAAGGAATGAGGAGAAGCCCCCGCAGACGGGAGCCTGCCAGGGAAGGAGGGAGGAAATCGGTACTACGGGATGGAGGGGCCCCTGAGCAGTGCAGGTGACCCGGGGTGGCGGGGGCAGGCGCCCCGGGGACCTCCCTCCGTCCCTTCCATGATCTGCACTGGGCACAGGAGGAGAGCGCGCCCGCGTGCGGCCCTGGGTTAGGACGGTGGGGGCTGGAAACGCGAGGGGGCCGGGTCCGCCGGGGGGAGCCATCGGCCGCCAGCCCCGAAGCGAGGCGCGTGCACCCGCGGCCCGTCCATGCACACGGCGCGTCTTCTCCCAGGAGACTGTAAGCCGCCCGAGGGCAGGGACTGTGCGCGCGCCAGTGCTCAGCACAGCGGACCGACCGCAGCAAGTGCAGCCTTTAGGGCCGGGGTGGGGTCGGGCTGCTCTGAGGAAACTGAGGCAAGCAGGCAGGCAGGCCGCAGCCAGCCCCGCCCTCGCCCTTCAGGGGGTCCGCTGCGAGGGGGGGAGCGGCCGGAGGAAGGGAGGAGGGGGAGCGGGCGCGCCTCCCCTTCCCAGAAGCCTCCACGCCAGGCCTGGGGGATCCGAGGCGTTCGATCCTCCCGGCGGCCCAGAGCAGCCCGGGGGGGGGATCGGAAGTGACGTCACACGGAGGCGGGGCGATGGAGGGACTACTTCCGGGCGGCGCCAGAGAGAAAACCTGAGGTGAGAAAAGCGCGGGAGGGGGCGGGGGGTTTGGTTCTGCCTGTCTCTGTCTCTCCCTGTCTCTCCCTGTCTCTCTCTCCGTCTCTGTGTCTCCATGTCTCTCTCTCTCCCCATCTCTGTCTCTCCCTGTTTCTGTCTCTCCATGTCTCTGTCTCTCCCTCTCTGTCTTTCCCTGTCTCTGTCTCTCCATGTCTGTGTCTCTCCCTGTCTCTCTGTCTCTGTCTCTCCCTCTCTGTCTCTGTGTCTCTCTGTCTCTGTCTCTCCATGTCTCTTCTCTCCCTTTCTCTGTCTCCATGTCTCTGTCTGTCTCTGTCTCTCCTTGTCTCTTTCTGTCTCTCCCTGCCTCTGTCTCTCTCTGTCTCTGTCTCTCCCTGTTTCTGTCTCTCCCTCTCTCTTCCTTCCTTTGTCTCTCCCCGTCTCCCTATGTCTCTGCATCTCTTTCTCTGTCTCTCCCTGTCTCTCTGCTCTCCCTGTCTCCCTATATCTCTGTGTCTCCCCCCTCTGCCTCTGCAGATTTCCATTTCTCCATCATCCCTCTGCACCTCTGTTATCTCTCTGTCTCTCTCTCTCTCTCTCTCTCTCTCTCTCTCGCTGTCTTTGTCTTTCCCCATCTCCTTGTCTCTGTCTCTCCCTGTCTCTTCCTCTCCTCCCTGTCTCTCTGTCTCTGTCTCTCCCTGTCTCTATATCTCTCTGTCTCTCCCTGTCTCTCTATCTTTGTCTCTCCCCATCTCCCTGCGTCTGTCTCTCCCTGTCTCTGTCTCTCCCCATCACCCTCTCTCTTTCTCTCCCCATCACCCTCTCTCTGTCTCTATCTCTCCCTCTCTGTCTCTCCCCATCTCCCTGTCTCTGTCTTTGTCTCTTCCTGTCTCCCTATGTCTCTGTGTCTTCCCATCTCTGTCTTCAGATTTCCTTCTCTCCATCATCCCTCTGCACCTCTGTTATCTCTGTCTCTGCACATCTCTCCCAGCCTCTCTCCCAGCCGCTCCCCCAGCCCTGACTGTTGTAGAGGCTCAGGGCCTCCTCCCCTTCTCCCCCTGCCCCGCTGACCCCCTGACCCTGCCCTTCTCTCTCGCATCTGTCCAGGCCCTCTCCGCCAGAGGCCCGGCCACCCGCCAGGAAGGACCATGTCTGCAGGGTGGGGGGCCACGGCCTCCCGGCACCTCCAGACTGTCACCTGGGGCCCCTGGAAGCAGGAGGCCCTCACCTGGGGCCGCACCTCCCCAGACATGGGCGCCGAGACGTGCCGCCGGCGCTTCCGCACCTTCCGCTACCAGGAGGCGGCTGGGCCCCGCGAGGCCCTGGGCCAGCTCCGTGAGCTGTGCTGGCGCTGGCTGCGCCCCCAGAGCCTCACCAAAGAGCAGATGCTGGAGCTGCTGGTGCTGGAGCAGTTCCTGAGCGTCCTGCCAGCAGAGATCCAGGCCTGGGTGCAAGAGCGGTATCCCGAGACCGGCGAGGAGGCCGTGAGCCTGGTGGAGGGCCTGCAGGGAGGTCTGGGCTTCTCGGGCCCCCAGGTGCGGGATGCTGGTGCTGGGGGGAGGGGGATTCACGGGCTCCAGCTCTGACTGACGAGAGGCCAAGGGGGACCCTAGAGGGCCTGGGGGGGTGTGGGGTTTGAGCCCAAACCTGTGCTGCCCTTTGGGCCCCCCCCCCATGGCTGACATCCTTGTCTCCAGGTCCCTGCCTGTACACGTGGGGGGAAGGTGCTGGTAGAGGACGCCAGGGTTAGTGGTGACTCCTTGGCCGGGACATGTCCCGAGTCTCCCAGGCCACTCGGCCGCCTCGTTGGATGCCCACCAGGTACGTGTGTCACTCCCTGCCCTCAGCATTCCATCCAGAGCCTCAGCCTCCCATGCTGGAAAGGAGCCTCAAGGAGGCTCCTTTCCACTGAACCTGGGGTGCACGGGGCTTGTCCTGGGCCCTCATAGTGCACCTACTGTGTGCCAGGCACTGTGCTAAGTGCTTTACGTTTGAGGAAACTGAGGCCAACAGCACAGTGAACTGCTCAGGGTCACATCGCTAGGAAGTGTCTGAGGCTGGATTTGAACTCAGGTCTTCTCGAGTCCAGGCTCAGTGCTCAGGGCACCTTGATGCCTCCTCCCTGCCTCATAGTAGGTGCTTAATAAATGTTGATTAACTCAGAATTGACTGACAGGCTGACAGTCCTATTGATGCTGACTACAGAGGGCTTCTTGCCTCCTCATCTGTCTCTTCAGGAAGCCCAGGGTACAGAGTCCATTAGCTTCTCAGGCTGACCCATCCCACAGCCAGCTCTTCCAGCCTCTGCAGTCCACTCAGACCCCTGCCCCATCATTTCAGGCCCAGGCCTCACTCATACTGCCCTCTTCAATTTCATCTCATTCAATTCAGACCAGTTCTGTGGCTCCCCTGATCCTTTAGGGTCCCGATTGTCCACGCCAGGGATGGAGCAGATCCCCAGGGCCACCTCTGTAGACCTTGGGTGCCCTACCCTGCACCTCCTGCCCCACCATGTTACCTTGTATCTCTTGTCTGTCCTGGGGCCAGACTGTAAGCTTGTCAAGGGCAGGGTCCAGCTTCTCTGAAGGCCCTAAGCCAGGGAGGGTGGAGGGCCTCGGCCAGCCAGAGTAGAGGTCCAGGGGGGTGGCCCTGCCTCTTCTACCAGGTCACGTCCACTGATCTCGGGGACTTTGGGGATGAGGCCCTGTGGATAGCATCTTTCAGGAGTGCTTCCTGAGGGCTCCCTTCCCCACCCCGAGGGCTCTTGGCTGGCTTGTTGGGGGCAGTTGGTCAGCGCTGGGGGCTAAGGTCTGAAGAGCAGGCCCCATCTTGGGATCTTCCAGCCATGCTGGGCAGGGACCTGCAGGTGTGGGTCACCAAGGCACACCTGCCCATCCAGAGGCTACCGAGATCCCTCTCCCCTCCTCCTGCTGCTGCATGAGAGCCTTCCTCGGGACCAGCTCCCGGCAGCCCATCGCCCATGTCCGTTGGGTCAAGGCTTCGCTTCCCTCTGCCACCTGTTACCATTACCCTCCTCTTTGGACACCCAAGACCCGCAGCCCCTCAGCCTTCCTTGGGGGCCCCTTGCCACACTCTGGCCTTCCTGATGCCATTCCTGCCCACTGTGCTGAGCTCTCTGCCTCTTCTGCTGCATCCACGGCTGTCCCTTCGCACAATCCCATTTCCTTCCTTCCCTCTGGGGCCAACTTCTCCTGGTGCACTTGTCTTGGTGGGATTCCCACCTATTTGTCCTCAAATCCCTGTGAAATCTGCTTTCCCAACCCCAGGGGGCTTCCCTTCCCTATTGGGGGGGGTCACTCCCCCAAGGGGGCCATCATTTCTGTCCCAGCACCCAAGTCCTCCCTTCCTGTGAACAGGGTTTCTCCTTGTTGGTTTTTCTACTAAGAAGTCAGGAGAGAGATGAGGGGAGAGAGTGGGGAGGGGAAAGAGGGAGAGAAGAGAGAGACAGACAGACAAGGAGAAAGAGACGGAGGGGAAAGAGAAAGGGGGAGAGACATGAGGAAAGAGAGAGGGGGAGGGGAAAGAGGAGAGAGACATGAGGGGAGAGAGAAGGGAAAGAGGCGAGAGAGGAGAGAGGGAAGGAGGGAGGAAGAGAGAGGAGGGAGAGAGAGGAGAGAGAGGAGGGAGAGAGAGGAGGGAGAAAGGAGAGAGACATGAGGGGAGAGAGAAGGGAAAGAGGCGAGAGGGAGGGAGGAAGAGAGAGGAGAGAGACATGAGAGGAGAGAAGGAGAGAGAAGGGAAAGAGGGAGAGAAGAGAGGAGGGAGGGGAAGAGAGGGAGAGGGGACAGGAGAGATGAAAGGGGGTGGGAGGGGAAAGAGGCGAGAGAAAGGAGAGAGGGAGGGAGGAAAGAGAGAGGGAGGAAGAGGAGAGGGGGAGGGGAAAGAGAAAGAGAGAGGGGAAGAAAGGGAGAGATGGGAGGGGAGGAGAGTGAGGGCAGGGAAGGGGCTGGATGTCTGTGTCCTCACTTCTCTCCAGTGACATGGTCACTTCTGTCCCCATCTCCATCCCCTATACGGTGTCTCCTGTTGATCCATAGCCCTCCCCTCTCTCAGCCCTCCTTTGAGCCAGGGTCCAGCCATGACTTCTGGTCACAAGGGTGCCTAAAGTGTGGTCATTTGTCCTCAGACATGAGAAGCCCGGGTTTAGTTCCTTGTGCCTCTCTTGGGATGTGACTCCTGTCCACCCTGCATGGTAACTACATCATTTATTTAGGTGACCTTTTTTATTTAAGGAGCAATGTTAGAGGTGAAAATCAGCTGGCAAATATTGGCCAACCCAGAAGTATTGGTGAAGTGCCTACTGTGTGCCAGGTGCTGGGAATCCAGAGGCCTCAGGCAGCATGCCAGGGTCCTATGTACATATCAAGACTGAAGCGGGGGACACTAGCGGCTGGAGGGAAGGGTCAGGAGAGACCGTGGTGAAGGTGGTGCTTGGAGCAAGAAAGGGATGCTGGGAAGAATACCTCTGCCATGTGAGGCCTGGCCAGGAATCTGTCCTCTCCGTCCTGATATTGGAGGAATCACTCCCCTGGCCCTTTGGGGGCAGCAGAGGAGGGTGAGAACAAGTGCTCACTCCTTTGAGGCCCCCCCATAATGGGCCAGGGCCTCTGCTTGGCCAGTGACAGAAGAAGCCCCCATTACCTTGTAAGGCCTTTGGTAAAACTTACCCCCCAAGACCATGAGCTATTAGTGTGCTTGATTAGGTAAAAAGTGACTGTCAGAGAAATCTCGGACTTGTTAACATGCCAACAGAAAGGATTGTACTAAGCTACCTTTAATGCAGATTGTTTCCTGCCTGGAAGGGAGTCTTCCAGAATGGGGGTCCCACGCCATTTCCATGTGCAGTGATTAATCATTAGGAGTAGGCTTGACCCTGTCCACTGACCTCAGTTCACTTCCCAGGGGCCCCTTGAGCCCAGACGTCAGTTGCAGCAGGCCTAGGCCTAAGTGTGAACACTCCCTGAGTGAAAGAGCCCTCACTGCTGCTCCTGGCTCTGGCTGATGAAAAATGCTTCCCAAAGCTGAGCAGAGAGCCGGGCTTTGTGCTGTGGCCACCTTACAGGGCCCTGACCACGACGCCTTGGTTTTGCACATTACTGGGAAACACTGACCCTGGAGGGACTGGGGAGACCTGGCAGGGACACGGGTAGGGCCTCCCATAACCGTGCCCTGTCTGAGATGACCAGCGTCGATGTGTTTACAGGAAGAGAGTTGGCCTGGGGAGCCAAGGAGAAGGCGACAGTTGGCAGATGGCCAGCTGGTGGTTGTCATCCCCTCCCTGGAGGCCTTGCCCCTTGCATGAGTGCTGGCCACGGCCTCACCAGCTCAGCCCACAATAGGGTTCGTTAACAGCATTGTGGGATGGAGACAGCTCCATTCTGCTTTGATCCCTGCTGTTCATTTCCACTGCTAGAACCCTGCCTACAGCTGCCTTTGTCTTAGCCTCCCTCTCCTGGTCCTTCACTTCTTCCAGGCTGCTGGGTCAGCTCTGAGTCCAGTCATCATTCACCCCCAAGCTCCAACAACCTCCCTTGTACAATGGGTATATTCTTGCTTACAGCTCTAAAATGCTGTGGTCCCATCAAGTGGTTGAGAAGAAAGCAAAAGCAAGTCATTATGTTCTCTTCCTTTTAAACCTGATTTCCAGTTTCCAAATCCAATGTGATGACCAGTCTGGAAGAAGGGGACAAGCTGGGGGCTTTGGACCCACCCAGAGACAAGAGTGCAGGTGGGTGAAGGAGGAAAGCAGTGGAGGTGGGTACCTCTGTGGGGCTACTGATGAGGTTTGTGGGGGATTCAGGCAGGGATAGAATGCCGTTCCTTGATCTTCCCCAGCACCAGTGGCTGCTATTTCTTGCCAGCTGTGGGGGTCTCTTGCCCCCTCTCTCCTTCCTTAATGTTAGCTTTTTAAGGGCAGGGACTGCTTCCCTTTTGACTTTGTGTCCTTAGTCCTAGTCCCGTAACCCCTGTGAACTCTCCTCCCAACCCTGACATTTTCTATCCATTCCCTCTTGTGTGCCTCGAATTCCTACATCCCAGTCTCATCCTCTGTTGTGGACATCCTGGCAGACCACTCTTTCCTCTCATAGCCATCCCCTGGCTTCTAGATCCTCTGAGAATTGTCAAAGCCACATTCTTGGGGTTGATGGTCATTTAATTTCCTTCTCACCCTGTTGCCCTTTTTGGTATCTGTCCCCTGCCCAAGTAATCCTTCCTTTGTAGCAAAAACCAGTTCAGCCACACCAGCTGACGTGACAGCCAGGGCTGACAGCATTTTGGGCCAAAGAAACATTGACAGTTTCTGTTTATACTTTTAGACTTTGAGACTAAGGCCAAGGACCAGAAATGGGCTCCCAAGCAGGAAATGTCTGAAGAAGGAGAATCACAAGGGGTAATTTTGGAAGCTTCTCAGGGACTGGAATATGGAGAAGCTTGGGGTTGTACGGGAGGGTCAGAGAGGAGGCTGGGGGTCTTCATGGAGGAGAAGCTGAAGAAATCTCCTTCTTCAGAAAGAGATTTCAGGAAGAGTTCTGTAGTAGACCAGAAACCTCCTCCAGAGAAGATAGAGAAGGCAAGTGTCAAGGTTGGGCAGAATGTCAATGTGGACCCAAATCCAGTTCCCCGGAAGAGAATTCCCACAGGAGCCAGACCCCATATATGTGACCTATGCAGTCAGAGCTTTAAGCTCAGTGCAGAACTAATTAAGCATCAGAAGATCCATGTAGGAGAGAAACCCTGTAAATGTAATGAATGTGGGAAAGTGTTCAGCCAAAGCTCTTACCTCCTCCAACACCAGAGAGTTCACACTGGAGAGAAACCCTATCAGTGCAATGAATGTGGAAAAGCATTTGCTTGGAGCTCAAACCTTATTCAGCACCAGAGAATTCACACTGGAGAAAAACCATATGAATGTAATGAGTGTGGGAAGGCCTTTAGGGCACATTCACAGCTTATTCATCATCAAAAAATTCACACTGGGGAGAAGCCCTATCAGTGTAATGAATGTGGGAAATCCTTTGGTCGGAGCACAACTCTTATTCAACACCAGAGAATTCACACTGGAGAGAAGCCCTATCAATGTAACGAATGTGGGAAATCCTTTAACTGGAACTCAAACTTTATTGAACACCAGAGAATTCACACTGGAGAAAGACCTCACGAATGTAATGAATGTGGGAAGGCCTTCAGCCAGAGCTCAAACCTAATTGAACACCTGAAAATTCACACAGGAGAGAAGCCTCATGAATGTAATCAGTGTGGGAAATCATTCATGAGGAGCTCAGGCCTTAGACAGCATCAGAGAATTCATACAGGAGAGAAACCCTATCCATGTAATGAGTGTGGGAAGACCTTCAGGGAGAGCTCACAACTCATTCAGCACCAGAGAATCCATACTGGAGAGAGACCCTTTGAATGTCATGAGTGTGGAAAAGCCTTCATTTTGATCTCAAATCTTACAGAACACCAGAGAATTCACACTGGGGAGAAACCTCATGAATGCAATGAGTGTGGAAAAGCCTTTAGTCAAAGGTCAAACCTCATCAGTCACCAGAGAATACACACTGGAGAAAAACCCTATGAGTGCACTGAATGTGGGAAAACTTTCAAGGGGAGCTCTGGCCTGGTTCACCACCAGAGAATTCACACTGGAGAGAGGCCCTATGAATGTAATGAATGTGGTAAGACCTTCCGAGGGAGCTCAGAACTGAGACAGCACCAGAGACTTCATTCTGGGGAAAAGCCCTATGTATGTAATGAGTGTGGCAAAGCCTTTGTTCGAAACTCTGAGCTTATCAGCCACCAGCGAATTCACACTGGAGAGAGACCCTATAAATGTGGTGTGTGTGGCAAGCCCTTCAGCCATCGCTCCAACCTTAATGAACACCAGAAAAGACACATGGGGTTTAAGGTGAAGCCATGATCCTGAAAACTGCCCAGAAGCATGAGTTGTAGCTGAGGACAGAGGAAGGGCTGCAGAGAGGGAGGCAGGCAAAGTTACCTCATGGTGGTGTACAAGTGGGAAAAGCCCCATCCCCGTGGGGGACACAGGGTGTGAGGCCCCCACAAATTCAGGAACAGTTGTAGTTCCACTACTCCCATGCAAGACAAGCCTATATAAACCTAGTTTGAAGGTACCAGTGAATGTGAGATGTGGCTCTCCCTTGATGGCAGCCAAAGGGCAGAATGTGTGTGAAAGGATCACTCCTTATGCAGGGGTAGATGATTGGCTCCAGGTCAATAAAGCTGTGTCTGCACAAAACTCTGGAGCGAATGATTCCCCCTGAGCTCCTCTCTGAAAATCAGCACATCCATTGGCAGCTACTGACGTGTCTTCCACAGGTAAGTTTCCACCATGGACTAGGGTTCCAGCCTGTACCCGAAGCCCATCTCTGAAGAAGCCTGCTCTATTCACTGCTAGCTTTTCTCTCCTATCACCAGCAACATCGACACCCTCTTCCTTTATATCTTCTCCTATACCAGCCAAGTTCCAAACCCTTCCATTTCATTAGCCTCAAAGTCTGGCTATCTGGGTTTAAACTATAACTGAATGTGGTACTGATCCCAACCCTTTCCCTCTGAGCTTAGGGGCTTCATGAAGGAATGAGTTAAGCACACACTGTGCATGAATTTAGTGTACAAAAGCAAAGAAAGCTTCTGGGCCTGGGAACCTACATTCTAACAGGGGAGACCACACTGATGAAAGTCCCTGTGATGCTGAGTGGGATTCATACTTTCCTTCCAGGGGCAATGGCAGAGGTTTGATCGAGGTTTTGGGTTCTGGAGCTGGGGGTGGGGGTGGGAGTGAAGGTAGCACGATGTGGCCTTGGGTTCTTAACCTGAATTTTAAAAAAATATTATTATTTCTACATAATTGGCTTCCTTTGTAATTTTATGCTTTTAAAAACATGATTCTGGGAGGGGGTCCCTGGGCTGCCCATCTGAAGGGTCCAGAAAATGGACAAATAAACATTTACTAGGCACTCCTCTGTGCCAGACCCTGTGCTAAATGGCTGGCATACAAAGAAAGGTCAAAGATAGCCCCTGGCCCTAAGGAGCTCACAGCCTAATGGGGGAGAAGAGAAGCAAACACTCTGTGCCAACCAGTTCTGGATGGATAAATGAGAGAATCACAGAGGGAAGGCCCTAAGATGAAGATGCAGAATCCCCACTCCAGAGCAACGAGGGCTTGTGGAGGAGATGCATTTGGAGTAGGGACTGAACAGAGCAATCCCTGAGGTACGGGCCCTCCCAAGTTTGAGAGAATCCAGTAGAGTCTTGGAAATCTTCAAAGCCCTGGGACAAAGGTCAGTGGTTGTTATCATTACCTGCCTTGAGGAACTCGGGGTTCTTTCCTCTTCCTCCATTTCCACAGCCACCAGGAAACAGGCTCAGGGTAGAGGACTTTCCTCAGGCTGTGCATACAAGTGGAGTCAGGATTTGAATCGAGAGCCTCTAATCCCAGGGGCTTCTGTTAGCACAGATTAATAATAACTGACATTTATATACCACCTTAAAGTAGTCAGGGTGTTTTATAGGCATAACACTTGAGCCCCGAATCAGCCCTGTGAAGTAGGACCTACAGATTTAGCTCCATTTTGCAGATAAGGAAACAGGCTCAGGTGAGGTGACTTCCCCATGGCTGCATAGTTGGTAAGTTCCATTATGCCACCAGCCTACCCTCCACCAGTATCTCTATCCCTCGATTTCTGTTAGCTTACCTGCCTTTTGATTCCAATAGATTTTATAGGTTATTTTTAGGCTGGGAGTGGACTGTGTTGGGGTCATAGACCTGGGGAGCCTTTGTGGGAGGGAGAGGCATGAGATCCCCTTTGGACCCTCCCTGGAAAGCCCAGTTCAGTTCAGGTCATCTCTCCCTGCCATGTATGAACCATTGGTCCCTCAGCCCCTTGCATTTGACCAGGGCCTTCCCCTTGCTTTTATCTCACTTCCCTTGGCCCTCTTTCCCTCCCTTCGACTGTTGCAAGCCCTACCTGCATATAGGTACTTAATGCTTGAGGGGCCTCACCTCTAGGGGAGCCCCACCTCCACAAGTTGGCCTGACCAGAACAGGCCCCAAGGCTTTTGTAGGAGGAGCCTCGGGTACATTCTTCCTTTGGCTTGAGACAGCTCTGGATGCCCAATTAGTTCATACTCCATCCCTCTCTTATCGATAGCAAATGCTTCCTTATCTCTGGGCCTCAAGAGCTCAGTGAAGTGACTCAAGTATTTAGTGTGAAACAGGCACTGGGGAAATGAAGCCATTCCTGTCCTCAGGGAGCTTGTATTTTGGTGGAGGAGACATCTCTATATGAGTCTGTACAGAATCAATCCAAGGGAGCTATGGAAAGGGGATGCGAGCCCTTGGGGGTGTCATGGAGAGCTTCCTAGAGAAGATGGTGACTGGGCTGAGCCTTGAAGGAAGTGAGAGGCTTCTGAGCCAAAGGAGATGCTCACCTGCTTGGCTTTCCTCAGCCCCAACAGCCAGCGAGATGGAATGCCTTTCTCCACCCTCCTGTTGGGCCCCACAGCAGCCTCTGATGTAGCACCTGGAGCCTCTCTCCATGCCAGTGGTCCCCTTTGCTGGCTCTTTATGCAGCTGACACCCATTGCTTGAGAGTTCACTGGGGCTCTCTCTGTCCTAGCCTCATTTGCTTGGTGATCTCAGCTCCCATGATTCCCACCTCTGGAGAAACAGTTTGAGCCTCCTGAACCACAACCCTATATTTCCACCTGCTTTTTGGACATCGGACTGGATGTCCCAGAGGCATCACAAACTTAACATCTGTCTGTCTCCAGATAAGAGTCCCCCCTTTGCTCCCTGCTGCTGTCTTGGTGCAAGCCCTCATCACCTTTCCCCAGCACTCTTGCCCGAGATTCCTGGCTTGTCTCTCTACCTCAAGTCTCTTCACGCTGATCGATCATCTGCACAGCTCTAAAGTGATTTCCCTAATGTTCAGCCTGTACTCAGTAAACTCCAGGGGTCCACTATGTCCACCAGCATCCAACATAACATGCCCAATTTGGTGCTCAGAGCCCTTTGGAGCCTGACCCTGCAACCTTGCCAGGCTTTTTATACCTTCTCTCTTCTCCACTGTGGCCTTAGCAGTCTAGAGACACTGGCCCTGTCTGCCCCCACCCCACCCCACCTCCGTACCTGGCATGCTCTGCTCCTTCATCTCCACCTCCTGGTTCCTTCAAGACTTCACCCAGATCCTCTCTCCCTGTTCCAAGGTTACATCGTACCTCTGATGCCACTGTTGCCATTGCGCCTTGGTAGCATTCTGGAAGCATCTGCTTTATGTCGAGGTCTGTGCTGAGTTCCAAGGAGACGAGGAATGGCAGCGATGTGGAGCAGGAGGGGAGCCTGCTTGCCAAAGCCCAGACCACTGTGCTCTGTCTGTGTCCCTGATCCTGCCTTGCCTGCTGCCGACAGCGTCCCCACACCTCTGGCTTGATCCTGGTGTGCTGAGCCCCTCCAGGTCTGCTCCGCTTTGTTCCCAGCTGCTGTGAGGATCAGATGAAATGACATTCAGACAAACCAAGCTCAGTGCCTGGGACTGTGTGCCTGGACTCGGCCTGGTGCTGGGGTCATCGCCAGGCCTCCAGCCACCCAACCCTGTGTCCTCTCTCTGTCCCAGATGTTACTGGCACCAGAGGAGGTGGCTACAAGGTTGGAAGGAAAGGCAGCTTGGTCCCAGCATTGGGAAACAGGGTTGGGGTGGAGGGTTGAGGTGAGGTTGGAAGACTTGGGATTGGGTCCAGATTGATGTCCCTAAATGCACACACTGCGCCCCCAGGCTGGTATCACCTATGACCTGGTACATATAATTGCTGGGCTTTCTTCCCAGTTGGGGCCCAGCACAGACCCCTGGGGCCCAGCTCCTCCTCAGCTTAGCCCCTCCCACCTGACCACACTGCTCTCTGGCCCAAGTCTGTCCCTCTGGTGAAACCTTTGGTCCAAACTGGCCAGGGACTTGGAGGCAAGGCCTAGAGGGAGGAAGCAAACACATGAGCCTCATTCTTTCTGCCTCTTCTTCTTGGCAGTGGCCCACCAAGCTGGGCCTTATCGAAGGATGGGGACTGAGACACTCCCACCAGAAGGGAAGGAGCCGTGGGCAGAGTTCTTCCTACTGGGCCAAGGGGTGGGGGATCGGGCTATGGGACCTGCTCCAGAGCCTAGCTAGCCAGAGTGATCAGCCTGGTGCCTTGCCCACACTACCATCTGTGCTGCCCCTTCCTGTCTGTTGTTTCTTCCCTGTCTCCTTTGCTGGAGTATGAACCAGGTCTTGGCCCAGGATGGTGGGGGTCTCCCCAAGGCTCTCTCCTGGGCTCCCTTGGTAACCTCATCAACTGCTGAGGGTCCGATAACTGTGCCTCTACCTCCACAAAGTCTTCCTCTGATGCCCATTGTGACATGGAGTTGACCCCAGGGTCCCGAAAAGATTTGTGTGCCCATGCTCAGAGCAGCCTTGGTCACCAGGTGAGGCTCTGAGAGGGCAGCCTGGGGACCCGCTCCACTCCCAGTGGAGAGGCCCAGCAGCGCAGGCCTCCTGGTGATGGTTGTGGCGCCCAGTGGCACTGGGCCCGGGCCACTCTGTCCACCTCTGGGGTGACAGAGGCAGAGGAAGGAGGGCAAGGAGACCAGGAATCCCCTACAACTTCCTTTGTGCCTCCTCCCCTTGTACCTCAAGGTGAAATCCTTGGGATGGTCACCAAGCAATCATATGTTGGAGCAGCTGAGCGCCTGATCCCATGCTGAGTGCTGGGGACAGAGAGACAAAAACTCAGTCCTGCCTTCACCCAAGACAGGTCCCTTGAGCTAAAGCCCTGGGGAGGGGGAGGGAGCTCCCCAAAGGGCCTCATGCATAGGCTAAGATTTGATCTGCAGCTTGATGGAAACCGGGAAAGCCAGGAGGTGGGGGTGAGGGGGGAGAGCTTTCTCAGCATGGGAGGCAACCAGGGAGAGGCCAGGGACACTAGATCCAAGAGTCCACATGGGCACTGAGTGTGAGAAGACTGGAAAGGGAGGAGGGAGCAGGTGACGGAGGGCTTTGAAAGCCAAGCAGAGCATTTTGTATCCGATCCAGGATGATAGGGAGCCAGGGAAAGTTATTGAGGAGGGGGTGACTTGGTCAGACCTCTATCTTTAGAAAATCACCTTAGTGGCTGAATGAAAGATGGACTGGAGGTGGGGGGAGGCGGGCAGGCAGACACCCCTCCCCCCCCAACAGTTATTGCAATAGTACAGGTGTGAGGGGAGGGGAGGGGGCTGTGCCAGAGGAGAGGAGAGGATACAGGTCAAGAACACAAAAGTGATAAGGTGACAGCAGATAGTATGTGTGAGGTCGGTGGGAGTGAGGAGTTGAGAACATGAGGGTCGGTTGCTGGATGCACAGAAATAGGAAGGTTTGGAAGATTCATGGATTTAGGGGGAAAAGTCATGGAGTTTGTTTTGGACTTATTGAGTTTGAGATTCCTACAGGATGTCTGGTTCAAGATGGCCAAAAGGCGTGTGGTGACATGAGCCTGGGCTAGATCTATGGGTTATCAGCACAGATGGTCATTCAATCCATAAGAGCTGGTGAAAGTAGAGGGAGAAGATAAGAGGGTCCAGGACAGGAGCCCGAGGGACACCCTTGGCTGGCGGGTCTTTACTGGAATGATGCTCTCTCAAAGGAGACTGAGGAGCATCTGAGCCAAAAGAGATCAGTATCATAAAGATCTAGAGAAAAAAGAATGATCCACATGGCGAGGAAGGAAGAGGATTGAAGAAAGGCCATTGCACTTCGCAACTAAGAGATTGTTATTAACTTGGGAGAGGACAGTTTTGATTGCAGGATGAGGTCAGGAGCCAGACTGCAGAGGGTTGAAAAATGAGTGATCAGAGAGGAAGTGGCTTCTTAAGGAACTTAACTGAGAAGGGCGAGAGAAGGTGAAGAGAGTCACAGGCATGGCTGGACCAGATGAAGGATGGGGGAGACATGGAGACAGCCAGCAGGCAGGGAGAGATTGAGGATTGGGGAGAGGGGGGGCGATGGCAGAGGGGCAGTCTGTTGGAGAAGGGGTGGAATGAGGTCACTGGGGCATGGAGAGGGGCTGGCCTTGGCCAGGAGAAGGGCCACCTCTTCATGTGACACAGCAGTGAAGGATGAGATGGTGGAGGGAGATGTCTGAGTGATGTGGGAAGAGGAGGAAAAAGAAGAGGAGAAGGATGAGGCAGAAGAGGAGGAGAAGGAAGAAGAGGAGGAAAAGGAGAAGAAAGGTGAGGCAGAGGAGGAGGAGGAAGAGAAGGAGGAGGCAAAAAGGGAGAAAGGAGAGGAGAAGGAAGAGGAAAAAGAAAGGGGAAGGAGGAAGAGGAGGAGGAAGAGGAGAAGGATGAGGCAAAAAAGGAGGAAGAAAAGGAGGAGGAGGCAGAAAAGGAGGAAGAAGAGAAGGAGGAAAAAGAGAAGGAGGAGGAAGAAAAAAGAGGAAGAAGAGGAAAAGGATGAAGCAGAGGAGGAAGAGGAGGAGGAAGAAGAGAAGGAGGAGGAAGAAGAGGAGAAGGATGAGGAGGAGTTCTTGGTGAATGGCCTTAGGGACATACCAGGTCCTCAGCTGTGAGGTGGGAGGAGAGAGCTGGGGGGAGCTTCAGGACCCTCAGAATGGTTTGGGAGTAGGAGAGCTGCTGAACAGGGAGGTGTGGAAGGCTTGCCTGGCAGCAGGGAGGGCCCAGTGGAGGTAGTGTCCCAGAAATCTGTAGTGGAGCTAGTCAGCACAAGTGTCCTAATTCTCAGAAGCCTGTGAGGAGGGTGAAGGCAGCCAGTGGTGGGAGTGACCCAGAGCACAATCCTGTCCAAAGTGGGGCAGGGAATGGAGAGTTAGGGGCATCAGTCTAGGAGTGAGCAGTGCTCAGAAGCCCTTGGCTGAGTGAGTCGGCATTTGTGGGAAAGCCTACAGACATGGCCAAGCCCATTGGCCACAAGGAGCTGAGTACCTGGCAGGCTTGAAGAGAGAAGACCATTGGAGGCAGAGGAGAGCCTTGTGAACTGTCTCAGTGGTGAATTCCCAGGGCCCCCTGACAGCAATGATTGGTGGCAATATCTATGTCTAGACACGGGAGGAGGGGGGAAGGCAGCTTCCTGGCAATGGGCCTCAAGGGCACGTCTGGAGTTGCCTACCAAGCACCGGGTCATGTGGCCCCCTTGTCACATGTGCTCTCTAAGCTCTAGCCCCCTCTCCCCTGGTCCCAGGTTCTTGTACCACCTGCCTACAATTTCATTACATGGGCTGACTGGTTAGTGTTGTGGTCGGGGAAGCACGCTGATAGGGGCTTATGAGCTATAGCCCTGGAAAAGCTCCTTCTCACCTCCTTGGGGGCCCTAGAAACTGGAGAATAGAGGTGACCACTGCCCTTTGGGGATCCGATCCTCTAGGATAGGTTGGGGTTGAGGGAGACAGTAAACTCCCAAGCATGCAGCATATAATAAACCATTCCCATAGCAATGCAAGGTTTGCAAAGCACTTTACAAGTATAAACTTATTTTACCCTCACAATGATCCCCATTTTACAGATGAGTAAACCAAGGCAGACAGGTTCACTGACGTGCCCAGCTAGTAAGTATCTGAGGCTGGATTTGAACTCAAGTCTTTCTGACTTTTATCTTCTTTGACATCTAGCTACTACATGATGAACCCTTTATTGAGAAAAAGAATGAGTGGGTTCCATCCATGTCAAGCACTGACTAGCCCCACAATGACACTAGCTTCCTTGTAAGAGACAAGAAAAGATGTGATTTACATGGAAGTTATTCCTGAGTCAGCTGTCTGTGTACAGTCAGGCCACTGAAGCATCTGAGCTAAGGAAAAAAACAAAACACCCAAGAAGAAGGGGACAAATGGGGTAGAGAGAGGAGCTGGGCCCTGGGTTCCTTGGGGTAGGGACCCTGGTGAGCATCTTCTCTTCATCTTGGAGGCTGAGGGAGGGTGTGGCCTGCCAGGGTCATGGGGCCAGTTTGGTCAGAGTCAGGTCTTCCTAGCTCTGAGGCAGCTCTTTATCTCTACCATGTTACAATGTGAGAGATTTGCCCCCAAATTATTTTATCAAGTTATTGAAAAACCAAGAATAAACAGTGGACAACAGAAATTACGTAGGCGCTGACTAATAATTTCATCCAGCAGTTAAATGTAGACTTGTTGCCAGCAAAGAGGAGGCCAAAAGAGACCATGATTCATAAGTCTGTGTGTCTAGCCCTACCCTCTCTCTTGAGCTCCAACCTTTCATCACCAATGGCCATCTGGCCATCTTGAACTGGATGTCCAAAAGAATTATCTTTCCCCCCAATCCTTGACTCTTCCCAACTTCCCTGCTGTTGTTGAGGGCACCATCATCCCCCTAGGATCCCAGGCTCCCAATCTGTCATTGTAGATTCACCCCCACCCCCATGTCTAGTCTACCACTGTCTTGTTTCTGAATTCTGAAAGCTCTCCTGTTTGCCCCACCTCTCCTCTGACACTGCCCCTGCCCTGGTGCAAGCTCTCATAAACTCAAGCCTGGACTATTAATCTTAACAGCCTGCTCGTGGTGGTGGGGGTCTGCCTGCCTGTCTCTCCCCACTCTAGTCCATTCTCCATTCAGCCACTAAAGTGATTTTTTCTTAAAGCGAATGTCCGACCACTTCACCCCACTACTCAAATACTTTCCAGTGGCTCTTTATTGCCTTCAGGGTCAAATACAAAATGCTATTTGTCACTCAAAGCCCTCCTTCACTTGCCTCTGAGCTCTGAGCATTTTCTCAGGCCTCCTCCCCTCTGTCTCCCAGCTCCCCAGCTTCCTTCAGGACCCAGCTAAAATCCCACCTATTGCATCAAGCCTTTCCCGATCCCTCCTAATTCTAGTATTAACTTAATAATGTGTATTATTTTGTGTTAATTTAATAAAAAGTTGTGGGTTCCTTGAGGGCAGAGACCGTGTTTTACCTTTCTTTGAATCCCCAGTTCCTGGTGCATAATTAATGTTTATTGACTATTTGACTTAATGACTGGACCATAGCTTTGAGAACAGTATTTTAATATGCCTGTTTTCCTGCTTTGCCCCTCCCCCAATGTGTCTTTTTTTTGGGGAGGAATTAATTTTGCCAATCTGTTAAGTAGGAGGCAGAACCATGGAGCATTCCCCCCCCCCCCCATGACTACAGATAGCTTCAGGGACTGCACTTTGAAGACTACTGGTTCATATCCTTTAACTATTTATCAATGGGGGAATGGGAATCAGTTCCTTATCTATCTTGGAAATGAGACCTTTATCAGAGAAACTTGCTACAAAAATTTTTCCTCAGTTTTTTCTCTTCTACTCTTAGTTGCATTGATTTTGTTTGTGCAACATTTATTTTATGTAACCAAAATTGTCCATTTTATCTTTTGTGATCTCCACCACTTGTTTGGTCAATCAATCAAGATTTATTAAGCACCTACTATGTGCCAGGCAGTGTGCTAAGCACCAGGGGATAAAAAAAGGCAAAAGATAGTCCCTGCCCTCAGGGAGTTTACAATCTAGTGGGAGAGACAACTTGCAAACAAATGTATACAAAGCAAGCTATTTACGGGATAAATAGGAAATAATTAACAGAGGGAAGGCACTAGAATTAAGAGAAGCTGGGGAAGTCTCCTGTAAAAGATGGAATTTTAGTAGGGACTTAAAGAAAGCCAGGGTTATGAACTCTTCCCTCGTGTCAAAGAAAAAAAAATTAATGTTGATAACATACTGCGATTTAGGCTCAAGTCTGCCAGAAAGAATTTAATTTAATTTAACATTAATTGTATCCAAGCTATATCTAGCTGGAAGAGAAATGTCTCCCCAACCCGTCATATGTGGCTGCCCTAAGACAAGCTGAGGAAACATTTATTGGAATTCTGAACAAGAAACAGAACACAATGTATACAAATACGGTTTAGGTGAACTTTGAAGAATAGTTCAGTAGCCAGGTTGCCTTCCCACCCTGCCCTGGAACCCTCCCCTAAATCCCTTTCAGAAGTAAGCCAAGGGGCCTTTTCCATGGAGAAGGGCAGGTCCTGCCATTGGGTCATTCCCAATGTGTGGAGGCAGAGACAGAGACTAGGCAAGGCCCATTCTAGGTTGGAAAAGGTTGGGTACCATGTTACCACATATCCCTGAGAAAGGCCTTTTTGTCCTCTACCATCAGCCACCTTTCTTTTCCAAGGAGATACTCCAAGGGTTTTGGCATGGGCATTTTAGACCAGGGAAATATTATTTCTTAATATTTCTGGTATTTTGAAAGGACGAGTTTTAAATGCACTTCTACACCTACATACCATTCGGAAAGATACTTTCTTACTTGTCTCATTTGTTTCTGATGTACCCATTGAGATCTAGGTCATCTATCCTATCGGAGTTCCCTTATGTCAGTGGAGGTGAATTAATTCAGGAGGTGAATTAATTCAGGATCTGAATTAATCCAAGACTCCTTCCTTCTCAGTTAGCTTGTGAGTGACTCATTGTTCCTGGCTCTGAATCAGGTTACAAGGAAAAGTACCGGGAATGCATGCGGAAGAAATTCCAGGTCCTGGAGGAGAGAAATGGGTGCCTGGGTGAATGGGTCTACCTGAGCCACCACTACACGTGGCTGCTTCTGGTGAGGGAGCCCGCCAGCCCTCAGAGCAGACAGCAGCAGCTGCTGGCCTCTAGGGGGTTGCATGGGTGCCTTCAGGAGGGGCATGGAAGGCCCATTGAGCTCAAGGCTCTCTTTGATGCCGATGGAGGGGAAGGAGGCAGTGCCCCGGCCACCGTAGTGCTGCAGGAGGTAGCTGGGATTGGCAAGACCACCCTGGCCCGGAAGGTGCCGCTGGACTGGGCGTCAGGGACTCTCTACCCTGGCCAGTTCGACTATGCTTTCTACGTCAACTGCCGGACTGTGGAGTTGGCGGCCCAGAGGAGCGTGGCCGAGCTGCTCTCGGGCTGGCTCAAGGGCACTGGCCCAGGTTCGGGGTTGCACCCGTGCCCACCATGCTGGCTCGGCCGGAGTGCCTGCTGTTCGTTCTTGACGGCTTCGATGAGCTTCTCTGGGGCACTGGGGGGCAGGAGTATGGGGCCTGGGTCCCGAGGCGGGAGAAGCAGCGGGTGGATGTCCATCTGAGGAGCCTGCTGGCAAAGAGACTGCTCCCTGAGTATTCCCTGCTCGTCACCACATGGCCCATGGCACTGGAGAAGCTGCAGCAGCCTCAGGTGGCCGAGGTCCTGGGTTTCCACACTTTGGAGAGACAGGCCTATTTCTACAAGTACTTCCCCAACCTGGGGCAGGCCGGGCGAGCCTGGGCCACCGTGCAGGCTAACGAGGTCCTCTTCACCATGTGCTTTGTGCTGCTGGTGTGCTGGGCTGTGTGCACCGGGCTGCGGCAGCAGGTAGAGAGGGGCAAGGCTCTGGTTCAGACTGCACGGACTACCATCACCATCTACACGGCTTTTCTCTCCAGCCTCCTGCGTCCAGACTGGCTCGGCCCACCCAGGAGCCGGCCTGCTGGCCTCTGGGCCCTGTGCTCCTTGGCTGCCACTGGCCAGCGAGAGCAGAGGCTTTGGTTTCGACAGCAGGACCTGGCCTGCCACGGGCTGGACGTGGCCACTGTCTCTACCTTCCTGCACACAGACCAGGTTCAGCATGAGGTGGAGTGCAAGGCCACCTATAGCTTCTTCCACTCTACTTTCCAGGAGTTCTTCACTGCCCTGTTCCTGGTGCTGAAGCGGATGGACTCAATGGCTCTTCCATAGTCCTCGCTTGGGGCAGCTGCTGAAGGGCCCCTCCAGTTTGGAGGCCGACCTTCCCCTGACCTTCTGCTTCCTCTTTGGGCTCTCAAGCCAGGGGAGAGTAGGCATCCTGGAGAAGATAGTGGGAGCTCCTGTCCTCTGGGGGAGCCAGTGTGTACTGTTCAAATGGATTGGGCGGGCAGGCGGCCCAGTGCCTCGGGTGGGCGAAGACCCTGGAGCTGTTGTACTGTTTGTTGTGAGTTCATCCTGAGCGCTATGGCATGTTTCAGGGAAGTGAAGGTGAGAGTTCGCACCAGGATGGATGGCCTGGTGGTTGCTTTCCGCCTCCGGGGCTCTCGGAGCACCCTCACAGTCGAGCTGGATGGTCTGAGCTCCGGAGCCGCAGACCTAGGCCTCCCAGAGTGAGGCCTCACCAATCAAGCAGCTGGGACCTATTCTCTAAAGGACGTGTGCAAAGACTTCTCCTCCCGGCTCTGGGTACGAAGGAGTCTTTCTGAGCTGGGACTAGGGGCGGAGGCCCTGGGGGATTCCGGAATGAGATGGCTGTGTGAAGACCTCAAGCAGCCCACCTGCCCATTCCAGTCACTCCGGTAAGGCCTGGCTGGCTTCTTTCCCTTCCCAGCAATGGGGAGAAAGGGGTGGAGGGTAGGAGTCGAGGCTTGGCCTTGGGCAGGTCAGTTCCCCTCCCTGGCTCTCGGTTTTCTCATCTGAAAAAGTAGCTTTGGACTTGGTGATTATTTAAGTGGTTTCTAGCCCTGGCATGCTTCATTTGCCAAGGGTTGCCAAGGTGGCCACCTTGTGGTCTTGGGTAAAGGGCCCCCCTCCCTGGGCTACATTCTGAAGTTCTGACATTCTGTGGTTCTATCTTTTGAGGTTAAGGGGCAGCCCCTAGGAGGGCATCGTAGAACCAGGAAAGGGGCCCTTTCTCCCAGGGCTTCCCAGGGATGCCCAGTGAGGCAGTATCCAGAGTGAAAGTGAGGGAGCAAATCACTCAGCCTCCTCTGGTCTTTGATGGACTTTTGCCTGGGGCAGGGGAATGGTGTGTGAAAAAAGGCCCACAACACTGCATTCTTGCAGGTTGCTGAACTGCTGGCTCACTTCAGATTTTGCTGGGAGCCTCTCCTGTGCCTTTAGTATGAGTTGGACACTGACAAGACTGGATCTGAGTTACAACCCCCTGGAAGACCAGGGAGCAGCATTGCTCTTCAGGGTGCTGGAACATCCTAGCTGCAAGCTTGAGAGTCTGTGGTAAGACTACACAGCACCCTGCCTCTTTCTTTTTTGTCTTTTGCCTCTTCCGCCTCTTCTCTCCTTCATCACAGAAGGAGCTGTCCCTGCTGCTTACCAGGACTCATCTGTTTTCATGTACCGTGAGTCTTCTCCTCTGGGAATAAAAAATGAGGTCAGAAGATCCATAGTAGATGCTTAATAAATGTTGATTAATTGGTTGATCAGTTGACAGCTGGGGAACCTAGGGTTCACTGCTCCCACCTATACAAACTAAGAACATAGTAGGTGTTAAATAAATATTTGCTGATTGATTGATTGAAACAGAAGATTTTGTATTCGATCTGGAAGTGATAGGGAACCACTGGTGTTTATTGAGTAGGAGAGTGACATGGTCAGACCTAGGCTTTAAGAAAATCACTAGAGTAGAGAGAGACTTAAGGCAGGCAGACACCATTCCCCCACCAGCTATTGTAATAGTCCATGTGTGAGGTGATGAGGGTCTGTACCAGGGTGGGGGCAGCATCAGAGGAGAGAAGAGGGCATATTGGAGAGATGTTTCAGAGGTGAAATGGACCAGAGGTGCTGGGGAGGTGAAATGGACCAGAGATGAAATCAACAGGCCTTGGCATCATGTTGGATCTGGGGGTGAGAGAAAGTGAGGAGTCCAGGATGACTCCTAAGTTGGGAGCTTGAAGGACTGGGAGGATGATGTTACCCTCCACAGTAGTAGTGAAGGTAGGAAAAGGGGGAGACTTTAGGAGGAAAGACAAAGCATCTGGCTTTGGGCATGTTGAGTTTAAGATGTTTACTGGAACACTCAGTTGGAGATGTCTGGATGTGGAGAGATGTGAGAGACATCCCTCTTCTTTTTACATTTACTGAACTGTGTTATACAAATGACCCCAAGACTGCTTCTGAGGACACCCCAAGGAGGGAGCTGCCTGTTCCCCAGTGGCACCTGCCCTCAGTGGAGAAGACCAGTGCCTTCCTTTTAGGGCACTTTCCATGCAGGTACTATTAACCTAATTTTATAGATGAGGAAGAAAGGACCAGTGTGAGTGAGTCTCTCAGCTTTGGGACTCAAACCCCTGGTCTGGGCTCCTTTGGCGCTGTGTCCTTTGACTCTACCTCCCAGCAGGGCCTTGGTATTGGACACATTCAGGCCTTCAATGGCAAGAAAGCTTTCTTCTATTCAGGAGTTCTTAAGACCACATCTCCTGCTGTGCAGAAATTGATAGCAGCCTGAAATGACATTGGAGTCATACCCAGAACCTGAGACACCCATGGCCCCAAAGGCCTCTGGCTTTCAGCCCAGTGGGACCAGAGACATCCAAGAGTGGACTTTCCCTTGGCTTCCTGAGTCTGAAGAGGAACTGTCAAGAAGCAGCCAGGTGGCTCAATGGGCAGCTCACTCACCTGAGTGGGGAAAAAGCTGAGTTCAAATCTTATCTCAGACAATTCCCAGCTATATTCTTATCTTTTTGGTCTCGGTTTTCTCATCTGTAAAATGGGGGTGATAATGCTAGCACTCACTTCTAGGGTTGTTGTGAGGCCCAAATGAGACAATATGAGCAATGAGGTTGGCAGACTTGAGAGTCCCTTTTAATCGTGGCAGTGGCTGCTGCTGCTGAATGGTGAATGATTGCTTGTTCCTTGTTTCTTGTGTGTCTGTCCCCTAGTCTGAAGAAATGCCAATCACCGAGGAGTCATGTGAGGGCCTTGGCTCTGTCCTGGGCATCAGCCAGACCCTGCAGTGGCTGGATCTGAGCTTTAATGCCTTGGGAGACCATGGCATGGGGCTGCCGTGTGGAGGCCTGCGGCAGGCCAATTGCCAATGGAAGACACTCAGGTTAGTCTCCAAAAGTCTTTCCCTTGCCCAAGGCCCCCACCATGGGGTCCTACTTAGCATGGTGGCTTGTGGGTAAGAGTGAGTTCCCCATCCCCAGAAGTATTCCAGCCCAGGCTGGAAGGTCTCCAGACTCCTGGGGTGGGGAACTTCTGCAGACAGCAGGAACCGCTGTGGTTCCTTCCAGGTCTGAGCTGATGGACACGGAGACCTAGAAGCTGCAGCAGGTGGAGGATTTCCTTTCCCAGGAGGTCTTGGGTGGGCTGGTTTCTTTGTCAAGTTGATTGACGATTTCTTTGGGCAAGGGGTACCCCAGGGAACATGCTTTCTCCACCTGCTCTGCACCTGAGGCCCTTGGAGATGGGGAGTCACTGGGCTGGGGTCCTCCAGCCAATAGGACTTGGGCTTCCTGACCCAGAGGCCAGGGCTCTGACCACTGCTCCACACTCTCTCCACACCCCTGGCAGCAATTTGTTTAGGTTAGGAAACTGCAGCCTCACTGGCCAATGCTGCCTTGATCTGTCCTTGGTGCTTAGCCTGGGGCCTAAGCTACTCTGGCTTCACCTGAGGAACAATGCCCTAGGAGACTCAGGCTTGCAGCAGCTGTGCCAAGGCCATAGGGCCCCTCACTGCAGGATGAGGAAACTCAAGTAAGATAAGGCACGGCGCCCCCCCCAGCAGGGGCAACCTTTTGCACCTGGGGAGGGGGCTGGAGCCCATGTGACTGCCCATGGGGGGGAGGGGGGAGGGGGCTGGAGCCTGTGTGACTGCCCCCCACTCTGAGGGCCACCAGTCCTGCAGGAGGGCCAAATAGTCCTAAGACTAGTGCATGGGCCCTGAAGAGATGGGGTGGGGGAGAGGGGCATCTCTCTGCCCTTCCCCTCCTGGCTCTGAACAAGCGCTCCTGGAGCACAGTGGTCCCCTCAGCGCTTGTGTGCCCCTCTCCCACAGCCTGGCCAACTGCCGCCTCACCCCTGCTGGTGGCCCCAGCATCTCGTCTGTCTTAAGTGCTTCCAGCAGCATCGAGTTCCTCTTCCTCAGTGGCAATGACTTGGAAGACATGGGGATTCAGAAGTTGTGTCAGGGCCTGATTCACCCCAACTGTAAAGTGCAGGAGCTGAAGTAAGTGACCTCCATCCCCAGGGACAGACTCTGGGGAGGAAGTAGAGAGTTGTACAAGATAAAAGAGGTGTGGCTGGGTAGCAGAGCACCTGAAACAGATCTGAGGACCTGAGTGGACCCCAAGATCAGTAAGAGGCAGTAGTGGGATTTGGCGGTGAAGAACTTCCATAGGTTGCCTTAGGAGGGACAGAGGCTTACTCTGTGTCACGTCACACTCTTTGGTGACCTTGAACCCCTAAGAGGAGAGAGAACTCACCTCCTTTGCAGGCAGCTGTAATGCTGAGGAAATGTGCCCTGTTGCCCGTGACAGCCTCTGAAGGACTTGCAGGCAGCTTTCATCTCCCCCCTCACCCCCAGCCCTCTCTTCCCCAGGCTGAGTGTGCCCAGTTTCTTCCTCCAAAACTCATCTGATAAGGGGTTGAGGTCCCTCTCGTCCTAGCTGCCTTCCTCTGAACCCTGAGCCACCTGTCAGTGGGGCTTGGTGGACAGAGTGCTGTACTCAGAAGACCTGGGTGTCAGACACTGACCCTAGGCAGATCACTGCATGGCTCTGGACCTCAGTGTCCCCATCTGTAAAATGGGGATCGGCCCCCTGCTCATTAGGCTGTGTCTGTGCAGGACTTTGCAAAGCTGGCAGTGCCATGTCCTGACCGTGAGGACCTTTCTTTCCCGGCCTCCATGAGGTTCTGCCCTGTTCTTGGTGTTGGACATTGTAAGGACTCTACAGACAGGCCACCCAGGGAGGGCCTTCAGTCTTGGATTGTACTGGTGTCCTAGGCTCCATCTGGAGGTGGCCCACCTTCAGTTACAATGACCAGATCCAGTGCTGTGGCCCTATTACCCTTTTTTTCTGTGGCTCCATGAAGGGATGTCTCCTGTCTAAAAGGGATTCTGTGGATCGTCTGCCTATGTTGGGTCTTCAGTGCTCTTCCTTGTTTTTGGTGAGGAAGGTTCCTCTTTCCAGAGATGCCGGAGGCTCCTGTACTCTGGGCTTCATTGACGTTGCAGGCTTTTGTTAGGACATTTTGCAAATCTACCACAATCCGTGTTACAGTTCTGAGAGTGGTGGCCTAGACTAGGATGGCGGAGGAACTAATCACTTTCAATGCTCTTTTCCTGGTTAGTTTAGATTTCAGGATGCCAGTGAGTCACTGGATATATGCAGCCCCAGTCTGATCCTTGATGTGGCTTGTTTGGGGGAGACCAGGGGTTTGTAGGAATCTCCTTCATCCCTGAATCGATGTGGCTTTCCATGGTGGGTGTTCAGAATTTTGCTCTTCCTTGGTTGTGCCAAAGACTTTCTGATACCACAAGGTAGAGGATCTGCTTCTGGCTGGGCTGTAGATCTCCATGACAATCCCTGAACCTTCAGGACTTTATAGGACAGGCAGATGTGCCATACTCAGTTCTACTCACCTGTGGTGACCATTGATTTAGCAAAACCACCCTAGTCTCTATCCCTCTCTCCCCTCTCCTCTCTGTCTGCCTGTCTGCCTGTCTTTCTCTCTTGGTCTATCTCTCCCTGTTCGTTCTCTCTCTCTCTCTCTCTCTCTCTCTCTCTCTCTCTCTCTCTCTCTCTCTCTCTCTCTCTCTCTCCCTCTTTCCCCCTCTCCCTCCCCCTCCCTCCCTCCCTCTCCTTTCTCTATCTGTTTGTCTCCTCTCCTCCTTTCTCTGTCTTCCTCTTTATGTCTTTCTCTGTGTCTCCTAATTTCTTCATTTCTCAGGCCCCTTCAGGACAGTTTGTGAGCAAAGATGAATCGTTTATTTTGTATTTTCTGCTCTGTTGACTCCTATCACTCTAACCTTTTGGTTTCTCCTCCAGAAGGCCAAGGATTGGTATTTCAGGGGATTTGATCTGGTGTGTCATGCCTTCATGTGGTATTCCAGTACCATGGGGCACCCCATCCTCTGTTGATGAATAGGGCCAGCTTGCAGGCCCACACCACCCTATTTCAGTCAGTCCCCTCTTTATCAAGGGTTTACTATGTGCCAGGCACTGTCCCAAATGCTGGGTACAAAGGCAAAAAAACCCCCAACCATAGTCCCTGCTCCCAAGGAGCTCACAGTCTATGGGGGAGACAATATGTAAATTGTAAGGTACATAGGATATATGTTAAGATGTGATTTTAGCTGAGTCTACAAGGAAATCTGGGAAACCAAGAGGTGGTGATGGGAAGGCATGGAGGCAGCCAGTGGGGCGATGGAGTGCACTACATGAAGAGGAAGAAGAGCATGCCCAGGGGAATAAGGTGTAAGAAGCCTGGAAAGGGAGAAGGGATTAGGTATGAAGAGCATTGAATGCCAAGCAGAGTATTTTGTATTGGATCCTGGAGGCCATGGGGAGCCACTGGAGTTTATTGAGTGAAGTGTGGTGTGTGTATGTGACATGATCAGGCCTGCATTTTAGGAAAATCGCTTTGGTGACTGGAGGAGGATTGGAATGCGGACAGACCTGAAGCAGACAGACTCCTCCCCCTCCCCCAGCAGCTATTGTAATAATCCAGGTATGAGATGATAAGGCCTGCACCAGGGTGGGGCAGTGTCAGAGGGGAGAAGAGGGGCTATTAGAGAGATGCTGCTGAGGTGAAATGGACCAGAGATGGTACAGAGGTGAAATGGACTAGAGGTTCAGTTCTACAGAGGTGAAATGGACAAGAGAAGAGGTGAAATGGATGGTGTGGAAGTGAAATGGACCAGAGATGCTGCAGAGGTGAAATGGGCCAGAGATGGTACAGAGGTGAAATGGACAAGAGAAAAGGTGAAATGGATGGTGTGGAAGTGAAATGGACCAGAGATGCTGCAGAGGTGAAATGGACCAGAGATGCTGCAGAGGTGAAATGGACCAGAGATGTGGCAGAGGTGAAATGGACCAGAGATGCTGCAGAGGTGAAATGGACCAGAGATGCTGCAGAGGTGAAATGGACCAGAGATGTGGCAGAGGTGAAATGGACCAGAGATGCTGCAGAGGTGAAATGGGCCAGAGATGGTACAGAGGTGAAATGGGCCAGGGTGCTGCAGAGGTGAAATCGACAGGTCTTGGTACCATATTGGATATTGGGGCGGGGGTGAGGGAAAGTGAAGAGTCCAGGATGACTCCTAGGTTGAGAGCCTGAAGAACTGGGAGGATGGGGTGCCCTCCACAGTAATAGGGAAAATAGGAGGCAGGGTTTGGGGGAGAGATGAGTTATATTTTAGCCATAGTGAGTTTAAGATATCTATTGAACATCATTCAGTTCTAGATTTGAGCCCAGTTCTTCTCGTTCAAAGCTTAATTTGCATCCCTGCTGCCTCTAGGCATGTCTCATGCACACATTTGCTGGTGCAAGTGAATAATTTTATAATTTTATTTGCTTTTTTTTGGTGGGGGGGGAGTGTGATTTGCTAAGTATGTATGGAGACCTCCCATGTGATGGGCCCTGAGGAAAGTCTGTTACTTTCAAAAACTTTCCCCTTCATATTTCAATGTCTAGGCCTTTTAGCCCCTGTTAGATTTTGAAGACTTTGAAGTCTCCCTTCCCCTTCACCCCACATGAGTAGAAAGAAGAGAAGTGCTGTTATCATCCCTATCTTACAGAGATGGGGTTGCTCTGGGGCCCAGAGGTATGACTGGTTAGGAGGGGATTTGAAGTCAGGTGCTCTTGTCTTCCAGCCTGGCACTCCAGTCACTGCTCCAGCCCCTACCCTCTTCTTAGAGTCAGATAGCTTCACCAAGAAAAGGAACCTAATGGCCCAAGAGGGGACAGGCAGACAAAATTCTATTCTCCTGGCACTGGGATGGGAAGGCATTAGGGTTGGGGCATTTAGCAGAGACCTTGGGGTTGGTAAGGAGTCTAAGGACGCTTCACATTCATTTCATAACCTTAGGTAGGTCCTCTCTGGGTGTCCCCAGTAACCTCCTCCAGGACAGGAGGCCCCTTCCACTTTTGCTCTGTCCAGAGTTTGGACATTCTCTCTCTCCCCCCGACTCACCCCTTAAGCCCTCCCTTCTCCTGGGTAGCCATCCATCCACCCATCTTCTCCCAGCTACCTCCTTCCCTCCCCCATGTCTCCCCCTTCATCCCCACCTGGCCTCCCAGCTCTGCCCTCAGTAGCCTCTCCTCTTCCCCCTGCAGGATCCAGATGTGCGGGCTCACCTGGCTAGGCTGTGAGGCCCTGGCCTCAGCACTGCGCTGCTGCCCCAGCCTGAGGCAGCTGGACCTCAGTGACAGCTCCCTGGGGGAGGAAGGCTCAAAGTGGCTTTGTAGGGGCCTGAGGCAGCCCAGTTGTCAGCTGCAGAGATTCAGGTGGGTGTGGCCAGGGCAGCCTGCTGGGGCAGGAACAGGGCCTTTGGGAAGGCAGTGGGGTAGGGGGGGCGCCCAGTGAGGAGTCCAGAGTCCGGGGTCTGTGGCCTTGAGGCTCCCCCTCTGAGGCTGCTTCTGAATCTCTACAGGTTATTCAGGTTTGTCCTGAGCGAGGCAGCCAAGGCTGAGCTGGCAGCTGTGGCCAGAGTCAAGCCTGGCCTGGAGATCTCCTACAATAACAATTGGACTGGGTTTGCTGAGCTCTTCTGATGGGGGCTGAGCAGAAGGAGCAGGAGGGAGTGGCCTGTCCTTGGGCCTTCCACCTCCCCTCCCTGGCTTTGGGGTTTCCCAAGTGGCTCCCATTTTCATTCTGGACTCATCTTGTTTGGCTCCCCTGGGACTGGATCTCAAGTCCCTGGCTGCCTTTTTTGTTGTATGTTTCCCATCCCTCTACAGGAGCTGTGGCTCCCTATTGCCTCCAGGATGAAGCACAGGATGAAGCCAGTGGAGATGGTGGTGAGCATTAGAACCTGGGAGGCACAGACCTAGAACACCTCTATGCACAGCCCAGCTCCAAGGTGGAGGAGCCTGGCCCCACAGAAGAGATGGGAGGAGCCACATAGCCCTGCTTCTTAGCAGAGGTGGGAGCCCATGGGGGTGGGGCAGTGCATTCAACACCAGATTTTTTTTTTTGAATCATTGGTCCGTTTGCTGAAATTTTTTTTCCTGCTTTTAAAAACTTTTTCTAATAAGGAGTGGTTTTCTGGGAGGGGCAGAGTGGAAAATACAGGTGATATAAAGACAACACAACTATAAAATTTGTTTTTTTTTAAATGGGTCTAGAGCTTGGGCTGCCCTAGTTTTTCACCTCAGAGACCTCTCCCAAGTAGGTGAGGTGGGTGAAGAAAAGGCAGGATTAGCCCCCAGGCATGGCCATGGCCTCAGCCTCTGCACAGCCCCATTCCTGGCCCACTGGAGCCTGAAAGCTGCTTTGCTCCAACCTCCTATCTGGAAAATAAGCCACTTTTTATGTATTGACTTACTTGGGTCTCACAAGAAGCCTGTGAATTGGGTCCTAAAAGAGGAAACTGAGGCACAGACAAGGCAGGGTGAGGTGTGCCAGCTCTGTGGGCCTACCTGTCCCTGGAAGGTAGGTGGTCCATCATGGCAGCATTGATGAGATTATAGGCCCTACTGAGGAGTGACAGGAGGTAGGAGTGTACAAGAGCTTTTGTGTGGAGGGAGGTGTCCAGTGAGGGAGATTCCAGGGCAGGGGCTTTTCCTGGGAAGCATCTGAGGGACATCTCCCTGTGACCCACACCCCATAGAGCTTCCTTGGGGCCCCAGGGCTGGGGACTGCCCCCTAATGACTGATGGGCTACTTAGGACCCTGGGCCATGCTCTTGTCAGAGAGATCTGGGCCTCACCTCTCAGTGCAGAGGTAAGAATGGGGAAGGAGAATGCTCATTTGGCGACCCCAGAAGACATAGCCACCTTTTGGGCTACAGTGTACAAAGCCCCAGGATGGCAGTTAAACCTTGGGGATCTGAGAAGTACTCTTTGGAAAAAGGCAGCTGGTGGGTCAGCAGATAGAGCTCTGGATCTGTAGTCAGGAAGACCTGAGTTCAAATCCAGCCTCAGATACTTGCTAGTATAGCACCCTGGGTAAGTCACTTCACCACTGTCTGCCTCAGTTTCCTCATCTGTAAAATGGCAATAATAATAGCACCTACTGCCCAGGGCTGTTGTGAGGATCTAATGACATCATTGTAAAAGCTCTCCTAGCCTGCCACAAATGCTCATTCCTTTCCCAAAAAGGGATTCACCAGAATGTCAAGGGGCTACAGCTCCCTTGGAGAGCAGGAGAGAGGCTAATGGATGTTTGGGAGCTTTTTACGTTTCTGTATCTGGTTATAGGCTTTTGGGAGTTCCATACTCCCACATATTCTGTGGTCCTCTGAGGAAAGGCTGTCCTATACCTGGTTTGCATTTGCTAACTTTAGTGTTTGTACACGAACTGGAGGCTTTGTCAAGTTTCCTGGAGGAGCTCCAGGTGTGGACAATAAGCTAAATAAAGAGATAAGGAATCCTTCTGGTGTCAGCTTCCAGAGTCAGACTCAGATTAAGTGAGCCCAGAATGTTTGGGAGTGTCCTGGGCCATGGATTAAAGAATTGTCATGTGGGAGAAGACTAGCCATTGGTGGAATTGAGAAAGGCAGGGCTTGAGTTGAGCCTTGAAGGAGATGGAGGGACTGCAGGTCAGGGTCAGAGGTAGGGGGGTGGCTGGTCCTAAGTCATGCCTGTGCTAGAAAGCCTGAAAGGGACTTTGGATCAGCTCAAGCCTGGCGCGCCACCTGGTGGCGAATCCAAAGACTGCAATCTCAGCGACGTGCCACCTCACCTCCTCATGAGAACTTGGCAATGAGGGAATAGAGCGTAACCCATAAGTGGCTCCCAAAGAACTGCGCTCACCCTTCAAGGCTTTGATCCTCCCAGCTCCATTCCACAGAAAGCGCTACATAAATGTGGATTGATGGATACACACAAATTTTGTTCATTTGCATGGTGGCATCCCAAGAATACATCAAGAGATGTATGATGAGAAAGACAGTCACAGTGCCCCTGACATGCTCCCTGGAGATGTAGCCTCAAGCACGAGGGACAGCACATGCGACGGTATGGACTCCAATTGTCCGGGATGGGGCTAGTGTGGACGGGTCATCGTGGGCATCCTTGGAGGGTGCTGCCTAATCCATGAAGTCAGCCAATAGTCCACCAGTATTTCTCAGTGGCCACAGTGGCTGAGTCCCAGATTTGGCCATTTGGAGGCATTCTGGGCTCCATGGACTTTCTTCATTTGTCTGTGACTCTCCATTTAAGGTGGGCAGATGGGAGAGACATCTCCTCCTTCCCCACAGGCTGTTGTAGCATCTCCACCATGTCCCCAGGAAGCTCATCATTGAGAAATTCCATCCTCTGGCAAGAGCACTCAGCCTTGGTATTCCCTCGTCTTTGGGACCTTCTGGCCCTCTGATTGGAGGGAGAAGCTATGAACTTCCCAACCACCATATAAGGAGGAGAGATAGGACAGATGCAGGCTGCACACATCTTGGATCCTTTGACTTATCCACCATGCCCGTGCTGGCTATCCTCCTTCCCCAACCCCCACCCCAACTTTTTTTCATAGTTGTATTCCACACTAGCTTGTTCAGTTGTTTCAGTCATGTCTGACTCCTTAGGACCTTCTTTGGGGTTTTCTTGGTAAAGGTACTGGAGTGGTTTGCCATTTCCTTCTCCAGCTCAGTTTACAGAGGAGGAAACTGAGGTAAACAGGGTTAAATGACCTGCCCAGAGTCACACAGCTAATAAGTGTCTGATGCCAGATTTGAACTCAGGAAGGTGAGTCTTCCTGGTTCCAAGCCCAGTGCTCAATGTACTATGTTGCCACCTAGCTGCTCTCTCTAGCACACAGTAGGCATTTAATAAATATTTACTACTGACCTTTAGTTTTAAAAAAAGAAAAGACAACATTAATGTTTTCAGCTTCTCGTGGTAAGTTTCAAATGTATTCTCTGAAAACTCATGGAGAACAGTAATATTAAGAAGGCTCCTTGGCAGCGGGTCTAGCCGGTTTTTCTTTGGGGTGTGGAATGGAGCTGTTTGAAGGCAGTCAGCAGCCCCTCCCCACCCTGAAGTAAGACCAAGGCTGGTGAGAAAATCCACCTAGAAAGGATCTGTCTTGAGTTGGTGAGAAATGAAAGAAAGCCCTTCCCAGAGGCTTCAGAAGCCCTTAGCAATGGCGATGTACAGCTGTGTGGGGCAAGCTTCGGGAGCAGTGAAGAGGGAAGCAGGGAAGGATGTCCCCCAGCCTTTATAAATGCGGCCACTGGAAGGACTGGAGTCAGGGAGGACTTTTACTTGTTGGGTGGCTCAGGTTGGCTCAACTGTCAGAGCTGTCTTCCCCCTCCAGGTTCTGAGAGCAAGTAGTAGAAGCAGTAGCAGCAGTAGTAGCAGTAATAGTAATAGCAGGAGTAGTAGCAGGTAGTAGTAATAGTAATAGTAGTATCAGTAGCAGCAGGAGCAATAGTATTAATAGTAACAGTAGTAATAGCAGTAGTAGTAGCAGTAATAGTAATAGCAATAGCAGCAGTAGTATTAATAGCAATAGTAGTCATAGCAGTAATAGTATTAGCAGTAATAGTAGCAGGAACAGTAGTAGTAATAGTAATAATAACAGTAGCAGCAGTAGTAATAGTAATAGCAGCAGTAACAGTAATATTAATAGTAATAGCAATAGCAGTAATAGTAGTAGTAGCAGCAGCAGCAGCAGTAGTAGCATCAATAGTGATAGCAGTAGTAATAGCAGTCGCAGTAGCAGTAATAGTACTAGCAGGAATAGTAGTAGTATTAGTAACAGTACTACTACTAGTAGTAACAATAATAGCATTGGCCTCCACCAGGCAATATAGTCACCTTTCCGTGGTGGGCATGTAAAATATGCTTAAAATGGCTGGAGTTTATTATACAGCATTTTAAGGTTTGAAAAGCACTTTGCAATTCTTACCTCATTTGATCCTCACAACAACCCTGGTAGGTAGGGGTGATTGCTATCCCCATTTTATAGAGGTGAAGTGGCTAGTCCAAGGTCACACCTCCAGGGAGTACCTGAGATGGGACTGGAACTCAGATCTTCCTGACCCAGGCCTCAGGCTCTGGAAATATAAATAACAAGGAAGCTGCTTGAACTCCAGGCAAGAAGGACATTGGGAAGTATACCAGGCTCTGGGCGGCCCTTCCTGCCACCTGCCCAGCAGCACTTGGGGTCCTTTCATCCTCCTCCAGCCCGTGACAGCGGCAAGGGGGCAGATGACCGGCCTTGTCCTGCTGGCAGGGTTGTTTGGACGGTGCAGAGCCTAGGTGAAATGGTCCTGAGGACTGCTTCACACTCCCTTGATATCTGATCGTCCTCAAAGACAGCTTCTAAGGGACTGAATCATGTTATGAATTGTTCCATTAATGCACACAGCCTGACCCACGGTAAATACTTCCTGAAGGTGGGTTCCCTTCCCCTTTTCTCCCCATTCATATTCTGAGCTCCCAGCAGCCAGAGAGGCTCTCCACTCCACCTATGCCCCACCCAGCTGGGCTAAGTGGACCTAGGACTCTGGGAGGAAGCTCCTCTGAAGCTCTGAAAACTTCCAAGGCTGGATCCCCACCTTTCCATTCCATTCAACTGACTACACAGAGAAAGACTTTTGAGAGTCCCTTGGACTGCAAGATCAAATCAGTTAATAAAGACCTTAATTCAGCTATTCACTGGAAGCTGGAGCTTAAATACTTTGGCCACATAATGAGAAGACGGCACTCATTGGAGAAAAGAGCTTGACGCTGGGAAAGATGGAAGGCAGATGGGCAGACCAGCCGGGACGACAGAGGCTGAGATGGATGGATGGGGTCATGCAAGCGATGTACACGAGCTCAGACAGACAGTGAGAGACAGTGGATAGATGGGCCTGGCATGCTGTAGTCCATGGGGTCACCAAGAGTCGGTAACAGAACCACCCAGAGGAAATGAAACCCTGTGGCTGTCCTCAGGCAACTTGCATTCTAAGGACTCTGCTCCTGCACTGTTGAGGTGTGGCCCTGCAGGGGAGATGGGTGGGTGGATGAGACGGGCTGGAGGTGGGGGCAGCATCTACTATAAATTAAGCAGACCAGACCCTCCCCCAGTCCCAGCTGGCTTCCGTGTTCCTGCCTAGGTGAGTCCAATCTGCCAGAGAACTTGGCTCTTCTCTGCATGGATGTCTGAGCCAGGTTCCTGCCCCGCCCCCCAGGGCCACTTGGGCACCTTAGCTCTGGGCCTGGGCCCCTGCCTGGGGGGTAGGATAGGAGGACTGGGACCCACATGGGGCTGGAACCCTTCCTTTCCCTTCCTTCCATCTGGGCTGGCTGGGGCCTGGCCTATCATATTTCTTCCTCCCCTATGACCTGCCTACCTACCTGAGTCCTGCCCTCTGACCCTGCCAGGCCCCCAATCAGGACTGGCTAGAAGGGACCCAGACTCTTGCACGGCCCAACCCACCTCCCTTTCATGGAGAAGGCCCAGATCGGAAAAAGGAGTTGCCCAGGGGTTAGCCAGCCACAGTCTCCGGGTCAGTGAGGGGCTAAGCTGGGACCGGGGGTCTCCATGGATCTTTCCACTCTGGTTAGCAGAGCAAGAGTCCTGAGATCTGCATTAACCCTTGTTCCAAAGCTCTGAGATTAGGTGACTTCTACAGTCACCGATCAAAAGCATTTATTAGGCACCTACTGTGTGCCACGGAATGGAGCTGAGCACTGGGTTACAAAGAACTGCAAATACAGGGTCATGTTCTCTAGGAGTTTAGTCTAATGGGGGAGAGAAAATGCCAACTGCTATGTACAAGCAGTAGTCTGTAGCAGTACAAGGTGCCACTGGACAGGATTAACTGGAGCTGAGGCCCCCTAGGAAAGGCCTCTTAAAGAAAGCGGGGTTCTGGCTGGGGCAGACAAGGGGCAGCATTCAGGGCCTGGGGGAGGGACTGCCAGAAAGAATGCCAGGGGCTGTGAGATGGACACAGCCTGCAGGCCAGTGTACCTGGAGAAGAGCAGGTGGTGAGGAGAGTGGCTGGGCGCTGGTGAGGAAGGGCTTTGAATGCCAAGCAGAGGGATTCATACTTATTCTTGAGACAATAGGGAGCCATCGAAGGTTTTTGAGAGGGGGAGTGACTCCTAGATTGGGAGCCTGAAGAACTAGGAGGATGGAGGATGGTAGCACCCTCTAGTAATGGGGAGTGCAGAGGGTTTAAAGGGAAAGAGAAGTTGTGTTTTAGACACTTTGATTGTAAGATGTCTACTGGACATCCAGTTGGAGATAGGACATGAGGTCAGCAGAGAGGCCACCACAGACAGCCCTGCTATCTATCCACCCATCCTCTCTTCCTTCCCTCCATCCTTCCTTCCTTCTTTCTATCTATCCACCCATCTTTCCATCTATCCATCCATCCTTCCAACCATCTTTCCAACCATCCTCCCTTCCTTCCTTCCATCCCTTCCTTCTTTCCATCCATCCATCCATCCATCCATCCATCCATCCATCCTTCTCTCTATCCTCCCTTCTGTCCTTCCTTCCATCCTCCCACCCTTCCTTCCTTCCATCCCTCCTTCCTTCTTTCCATCCATTCATCTTCTCTCCATCCTTCTCTCCCTCCATCCTCCCTTCCATCCTTCCCTCCATCCATCCTCCCTTCCACCCTTGTATCCTTCCTTCCATCCATCCAGCCTTCCTTCTGTCCTTCCTTCCTTCCATTCTCCCCTCCATCCATCTTCCCTTCCATCCTTCTCTCCATCCATTCTTTTCTCCTCTCTTCCATCTTTCTCTCCATCCTCTCCTCCATCCATCCATCCTCCCTTCCTTCCATCCTCCCCTTCATCTTCCTTTCCATCCTTCCCTTCATCCTTTCTTCCATCCCCCCTCCTTTTTTCCATCCATCCATCCATCCATCCATCTTTCCATCTATTCAACCATCCTTCCCTCCATCCTTCCTTCTTCCTTCTCTCCATCCTTCTCTCCATCCTCCCTTCCATCCTTCCCTCCATCCTTCTATCCTTCCTTACTTCCATCCATCCATTCTTCCTTCCATCCTTCCCTCCTTCCAGCCTCCTTTCCTTCCTTCTATCTTTCCCTCCATCTTCCTTTCCATCCTTCCTTCCATCCTTTCCTTCATCCTTCATTCCTTCCATCCCTCCTTCCTTCTTTCCATCCATCCATCCATCCATCTTTCCATATATTCAACCATCCTTCCCTCCATCCTTCCTTCTTCTTTCTATTCATCCATCCATCCTTCTCTCCACCCTCCCTTCCATCCTTCCCTCCTTCCATCCTTCCTTCCTTCCCTCCATCTTCCTTCCATCCTTCCCTTCATCCTTCCTTCTTTCCATCCACCCATCCATCAATCCATCCATCCATCTTTCCATCTATTCAACCATTCTTCTATCCATCCATCCTTCCTTCTATCCTTCCTTACTTCCATCCATCCACCCCTCCTTCCATCCCTGGGCTCAGCTCCATCCGGTCTCATGTCATCATTCTCGACCCCTCCCTCTCCTCCATACCCACTCTGCTGCCAAGCTCAGTCCTTCTTCGGACACCCCTCTCTTCCCGCAGAAGCCATGGACATTGCTCTCGTGATACGCTCCTTGGAGAAGGAGCTCTTCTGCCCCGTCTGCTCTAACTTCTTCCAGGACCCTGTCACCGGCCCCTGCGGCAACACCTGGTGCCGGGCCTGCTTCCCTGGGGGAGCCCCCGAAGAGCTCCGGACCAGCCTGTGCCTGGACAGAGTCGGGGCACTGCTGAAGCGGCTGCAGCACCTCCAGCCCAGCGCACTCCCCCAGGACCACTGCGCCCAGCACTCCGAGCCCTTCACCCTCTTCTGCTGCCAGCACCGAGAGCCCGCGTGCGAAGTGTGCAAACACTCCTTGGAACACGTGGAGCACCACATGGTCCCCTTGGCCGCCTGGGCCCCCGGAAGTGAGTGAGCCTGAGGCGGGGAGCGGGGGGCGGGGCGACTGCGGCGGTGGGGGATGGGAGATGCACCGCCCTGACGGCAGGCTGTTGGTCCTGCATTTGCTGCCCTGCTGAGCTCCCCGTCTCTCCCAACAGAGTGTCGCTCCCGAAGCGGCTCCCAGCGCCAGGCCCAGGCCTGAAGGAAGCATGGATGGATGGATGGACAGCGCCCTGTATTTGACACGATGATAATAAATAATAGTTAACATTTATATCGTGCCTACTATATGCCCGGCACTGGGCTAAGCTCTTTACAATTATTATCTCCTTACGAGGCGGGTGCTGTTAGGGTCCCCATTTTAAAGATGAGGACACTGAGGCCGGCAGCGGGGAAATGACTTGCCCAGGGTCACAGTGCTAGTAAATGCCTAAGGCTGGATTTGAACTCGGGTCTTCATGACTCCCCAGGTTCCTATACTCCGTCGCGCCCCCTAGCGGCCAACAAAGCCCTGCACCTGGGGCAGGAGGGGCGAGGGAGGGGAGCGGAGCCACCCCACGTGAGAGCACGGTGGAACAGGGAAGACGTGTACCTGCTCAACACCTGGACTGAGCGAGTCCTGCGCAGCAGCGGGAAGGGGGCGTGGCGGAGAGGGAGGAGAAGGTTAGGTAGACTCTTTGGCGCCATGCGCTTGCGCGCCATTATCCCTTACCATGCTGGGAGGTGTAGTTCGGAGCGGGATGCGTGGCTGCGTACCCATTGGGCTCCTTGTCCCCAGGGGTTGGTTCTCTCAGTCCCGCCGCAGTGGGGAAGGGGGGAGGCGGGGCAAGGCCTGGGGAGCAGAGGGTCAGGGGAGATTGACATGAGGTCACAGAGGAGGAGAACCAGGAGGGAGGGATCTGAAAACCTGGGGAGAAGAGAGTGACCCGCAGTGACCAAGACTGCAGCCAGACAGGAGGTCACTAGCTGACCACTGGTCACTTTGGTTGGAATGGTGAAGTCGGAAGAAGGAAGGGCTGAGGGAGCCGCTAGGTGGCGCAGTGGGTGGAGCATCGGTCCTGAAAAGAGGAGGAAGAGGAGGGAGGAGAAGGAGGAGGAGGAGGAGGAGGAGGAGGAGGAGGAGGAGGAGGAGGAGGAGGAGGTGGAGAAGGAGGAGGAGGAGGAGGAGGAGAGGAGGAGGAGGAGGAGGAGGTGGAGAAGGAGAAGGAGAAGAAGAAGGAGAAGGAGAAGAAGAAGGAGAAGAAGGAGAAGAAGGAGGAGGTGGAGAAGGAGAAGAAGAAGAAGAAGAAGAAGAAGAAGAAGAAGAAGAAGAAGAAGAAGAAGAAGAAGAAGAAGAAGAAGAAGAAGAAGAAGAAGAAGAAGAAGAAGAAGAAGAAGAAGAAGAAGAAGAAGAAGAAGAAGAAAAGTTTAGCTGCAAAAGGCAGAAGGGACATAAGACCATAGTGGGGATGGGAGGGTCAAGAGAGGGTTTTTACAGGATGGAGGAGGACATGAGCCAGGAGAGAGGAAGAGATTAGAGATAAATGCAGGGGGAGGGGGGTGATAGAGGGGGCTATCTGTTGGGGGGGGCCACTTGAGCAGGTGGAGGGGTCGGCCTTGGTCAGGGGTAGAAGACACCTGAGTGATGGGAGGGGAGGGAGCTCATGGTGAATGCCTTGACTTAGGAGGCAGGGTCTCAGCTGAGAGAGTGGGTAGGGGGAGAGGGAGCTGATGAGGGCAGTAGAGGGGGATTGCCTGGCAGCAGTGGGGGTGGGGGGTGTCACATTACTTAGTGTGGGGGCACCCTGTGTGAGTAAGAGTGAGCATCTGCACTGGTCTCTCCTACCTGATTTTTGCCTGTACCTCCATACTCTGTCCCCAGATGGGCACCACTCCCTCTCTGTTGCTGTGGGCTTCAGTCTGCCTCAAGTCATTTCTCTTCATCTTGCCCATCTCTGCCCCATCCCAGAGGACGACTGAGCTGAGGCCCCACTGGGAGAGGCAACCAAATGGTCTTTGATGTGTGGGCCGGCCAGCCTGGTCGTCCTCAGGCTGCTCACCTCAAAGGGGACCCTCAGGGCCCTGAGACATCCTGCCAAGGCTGCAGATGTTCTGCTACCAGGAGGCCGTGAGCTGGCCGGGGCTGTGCCCCCAGGGCCTCACCAAGGAGCAGATGCTGGAGCTGCTGGTGCTGGAGCCGTTCCTGAGTATTGTGATGAATGAATTTAGAAAAGACATCCTCACCTCCCTCAGTATGCCTGCAATTTGACCCTGGCTCTTTTGTCATGTTAATCTTATTCCTGGCTAGATGTCCAAGTACTGTTTTTATGGTATTTGCTCCCTGGTAGGGCATCCCTCCAGGCACCAGAAACATCCTTGAACAGAATTGCTTTCTTTTTTTTTTTTAATTTTATTAATTTATTTTGATTTATCAGCAATCACTTCCAGAAGCTTTTGAGTTGAAAATTTTTCTCCCCCTTCCTCCCCACCACCCTCCCCAAGACAGCGCACAATCTGATACAGGCTTTACATTTACATTCCTATTAAACATATTTTCACATTAGTGAAGTTGTAAGTAAAAATTAAAACCAATAGGAGGAACCATCAGAAAGAGGAAACAAAACTCAACAGAAGGTAAAAAATAAGTGATAGCGATTTGACTTCCATAGTTCTTTCTTTGGAGGTGGACAGCATTTCCCATCCCGAGGCCGCTGGAGATGTCTTAGATCCTTGTAATGCTGAGAAGGGTTCAGTTTAACAATCTTAGTCATCGCATAACATGGCTGTTATTGTGTACAAAGTCCTCTTGGTTCTGCTCACTTCACTCAGCATCAGACCATGTAAGTCTTTCCAGGTTTTTCTGAAGTCAAGGATGTTTTGAGAACCGAGCCTTCCCCACTGAGCACACATTTATTCTAGCAAACTGCCTTCTTAGTTAGAAGGAATAACTAAAACCAGGTAGCCCCAACTTCACCTTCGGAGTCTCCCCGGAAGTGCAGACCTGTAGCCTGGGATTTTCCCACTGGGACTCTGGAGGCTGAACCAGGGACTCCCAGCCCGTGTGAATGAGATGTAGATGATTCCCTTAATGGGGATGATTGATTGTGAAGAGATTTGATACTGCTGAGACTTAAGTATGTTATTGTTACCTATTGGGACTCTAACTCTATTCTGTTTTCTAATCTTAATCCTATTTTACTATCTTAATAAATACTTTTACTATATACTTATATGTAAATCAAACTTGAGACTGACTCTGTGTCATTTCTAAACCAAAACTAATTTAAGCTGCAGTACATAAGGCTGCTTAGCAATACAAGTGTCCTGCCCTGAGATCCAGGCCCAGGTGCAAGAGCAGTGTCCCGAGACCAGCGAGGAGGCTGTGAGCCTCATTGAGAGAGGAGAGCTGTCAGGGTGAGGGCAGGCCCTAGATGGGCCCCTTGGGGGTCAGGAGACATGGGGCCACATCCCCAGACTTGTCATGCTCTGGCCGTTTCTCTTCGGGCTGTGACTGGGCCCCGTGCTAGCTCCTTGTCCCCAGTGGGATGCGGCACCCCGAGCAGGCAGGTGTCTCCTCCATCCTGGGCACTAATGGAGTGGTGATGCAGAGGCTTCAGGTCTGCCTGCTGTTAACAGCATTTTACTGAGCCCGGCTCTAACCTGAGAATGATGAAACAGTAGGCCAGAAACAAAGTACCAATAATCAGGTAGCCTTTAATTAATTTGTTTCATTATGAGGAACAGATTTGGAAATCAGGAATTCTCCTGATCAGAATTCCACCTTGCTGAAGTGAAGACAGAGATTGTATACCTAAAATCACAATGGGAAGGGAGGGGGGAAGGTGAATATCATCTTCCCAAGGCCGGGGTGGTTTCCCAGACAAACCCACAGATGGAAGATGGTCCAATTCTGGAGTCCTGAGAGAGCAATGATGCTCAAGTGCTTGGGGGTCCTTATTTGGTGGATTACGGGACCCGAGTTCTGTGATGGTAATGTTCTGCAGGCTTTGATTCACTTTGCTTCAGGTACGCAGGCAGAAGGAAGCTGGTGATTGTGAGCCTTGTCAAGGTTTCACTGATCAGTTCAAACTGCATTATGAGCCCATCAGAATTACCCGCACACTGCCAAAGGTTCTTTTTGGAGGAAGAAAGTGGTCTTTGATTAGTCTTTAAAATGTAGATGGAAGCATGGTATATCTGAGTTGAAAACAAATTGGCCCTCTAATTTTGCTTTCTAAATGTAAAAAGGCCCTTTTTCCTGGCAGAGTCCTGAGAAAGAGCCAGGGTTCCCAGTGGCCAGTTCTGCAGGAGGCTGAGCAGAGAGGCCCTCCCACAGCCACAGTCACAGCCAGCTCTTTGGGATAGAGGGAGACCCTGCTTAAGCCTGCCCCTGGCACTGTTCCCTGGGGATCCCTTGAAGCAAGGAAGGGAACGGGTGGGGGACCACTTGCTGACCACCCTATTACCTTCTTCCTGGGCCAGGCCACAGCACTAACTGCTTCACACTGGGCAGAAGCCCTGAGTGTTCTGACTGTGGGAAGGTCTCCAGCCAGGCCACACACCTTGCACAGCACCAGAGAATTCACACTGGGTAGAAGCCCTACAAATATTCTGACTGTGGGAAGGTCTCCAACCAGGCCGCACACCTTGCACAGCACCACAGAATTCACACTGGGGAGAAGCCCTACGAATATTCTGACTGTGGGAAGGTCTCCAGCCAGGTCACACACTTTACACAGCACCAGAGAATTCACACTGGGGAGAAGCCCTATGAATATTCTGACTGTGGGAAGGTCTCCAGCCAGGTCACACACTTTACACAGCACCAGAGAATTCACACTGGGGAGAAGCCCTGAGTGTTCTGACTGTGAGAAGGTCTCCAGCCAGGCCACACACCTTGCACAGCACCAGAGAATTCACACTGGGGAGAAGTAATACAAATGTTCTGACTGTTGGGAAGGTCTCCAGCCAGGTCACACACTTTACACAGCACCAGAGAATTCACACTGGGGAGAAGCCCTATGAATGGGAAGGCCTTCAGCCAGCATGGTTCTCATCCAACATCGGAGGAGTCACACTGGAGAGAAACCCTTTCCATGTGAGGTGGGAAGGCCTTCAGCCACTGGTCCCCCCAGCCCAGCACCACAGAACCCACGCCAGACAGAAGCCTCGTGGGTGTCATGGGTGCAGAAAGGCCTTTGGCCCCTGTTGTTCAATCCTTATTAAGCACCAGAGAGTCCACAGTGGGGAGAAACCCAACAAGGG